AGTCCTCTTGTCCTTTCCTTGAATCACTCTGCATTATCTTCATCCACATAATCCGTTTTTGAGTGAAAGCCCTAAGATTGGAGCCAATTAAGTTTTTCCGTGAAAAGTTGTTCAGATTCGTGTTTTTTCCAGTTCTTGCACTTTGTAGGGTGCTAACCCACAGCAACGCTTTGAAATATTTAGGCACTACGTTGCAAAAAGTTTAGAGTTATCCTCCTCATAATGTGATGACTGTTTTTTTGTGAGTGCCAGTGCTTCTTTATACTGAAGAAATCACTTGATCACCAAGATAGCAACGTTCAATGCAGACCACTTCTAAACCCGGTGAAGTTCAAATCTCTGAAAAAAGCTGCTCTCCGAAAATTATACACCGAAAAGAACAGGCAGTAGAACAGAAAACTGAGTCGTGGAAAGAAATGCGCTGCAGGTAAAGTACTCGGAAAACGCAATTGGTACAAAGTCCCTTTTGGTCTTGAGAAGGACAAAAGATAAGGGGTTTTTCTGTGAGAAAGATTTCATTCGAAGCAACAAGCAGTATTCCATTCATAAAGGTCAAGTGAGACTCTTCTTCTTCCACAATATAATGAGTTCCCATGGTCAGCAGATAGGAAGAGGGCTTGTCATAAAAATGAAAATGGTATTTCTGATATTAGTGTGGAAACTAAGTCCTGCAACTCATTTCATAACTTTACTCTCTTTGCATGTGGCGCACTCAAACTTCGGCTATATTTATTATAGATCGTGATGTTTGCTACAAATGCGCACATTGAATTGAATTTTGAACACAAGCTAGAAAATTTTCAGGCATTTATGGAAAACTGGTGAATTTCAATAATTTTTGGGTCATAAGCCAAAATGAAGCCGTTAGTAGCCTAGATCATACGCGATAATCCGAGGTCGTGTAGGAATTGTTGCCAGAGGTTGACTCATTCGACTCACTCAGAAAGAAATAAAATTCAAGGGTAAATCGAGATTTGGTGCTCTTACAAAATCGAAAGAGTCGCTGAGCGCAAGGCTGCTGGGAACAACCGCCAATGACTAGGGAGTCAGAATTTCAAAATTCGCCGAGGCTCCACATATTGAGGTTATTGGACCAGCCAAACACGAACATCATATATATTCATTTATTGATTCAACGCTCCCTTCCTTGTTCAGAGTGAGAACCCCACTTTGAACCTACAGTATTCATACAAAAAAGCCTTGTCACGCAATTTCGTATCGTTTTCGTGATGAGCATGTCGATTCCCCTACGCCAGATTTCAGCCAAATCTGTCAAATTTTATAATTTTTGCCCTTTTGTTAACCCTCACTGCGACGTCAGAATTTGGCAGAATATTAGCTGCGCTTGTGGCTTACGTTATGGCCTACACAATGGCCAAATTTGGGTACGTCACGTTGGAAGAGAGGATAGTTATCGAACGAGTTGCAAAACCGATTTCCAGGCTAATATTTCTTAGCCTATGGGTCTTGCAACAAGAATTTTGGAGCTACAGTCCTATCATTTTGCCATTTTTGACTTCACCATACTTTCATGTCTTCCCTTAACAGTTTTGCTCAAGGTAAATTACGAGATGTGCAAGAAGAGAAATGCACGGGTGTTATGTAGACGTCGGAACAAATGAATGGGAAATTAAGATCAGAAAAAAGAAGAATTCTCCTCACATGAACCGCTTATCAAAACAACTAAACGTATACAGGAATAATTTCTATTGGTGTATTCGACCATAGTCATATCTTCAAATTATTCAGAGTACAATAAAGATGTGGTTCAAAAACCAACATAGCAACTAACAACAAGTTGCTTCCTTATCTGATTTATCACTTTACATCTGATTAAACAGCCTTTTGGAATATATTCGACAAAATTAGCCCAAGTGAGTGGCTCGGCAAAATTATTTGCAACTCGTGATGTTACAGAGTGGACTTCGCTGATTGCTTATTTTTTATGATTATTCTAAAAGGAAAAAAAATAAAAGGACACTACCATTTTCTGTATACCCTAACGAGTCAAGGGCAACATAAAGGGCATATTGACCCGAATACGTGAAGTTGCGCTCATTAATATCTTCATGACTCCCCGTTTGTTATTCTGTGATTTTCGCACTTCTAAACAAACACTTCTAACGCCTTATGGGGAAGAACTCGTTCGGGCAGATTTCGAAATCGCTTTATTGGAACTATCCGCACACTCCTACACAAAGGTAAAAAGTATAGTTCTGGGGGCAATTTAAAGGCACATTGCAACCAGTTAAATACTACCTAGCGAATGCTATGAAACTTGATGAGGTACCAGTTTTTTGGCATAGCGTAGGGTTTCTATTTCGACCAGACCGGATCTCGCAGTAGTCTAAAGTAAACTGTTTATTTGTGAGTTAGTCGTAGAAGCGTTTATTTTATCTTATCCAAATTTGTGTGCAATAGCAGTGCATCTAATGTTTGGATTTCTTCGTTGTGCTTGAACTCCGCTTACCTTGAGCGAAAGAATTCTTGTTTTTCCATTTTGCTGCTCCAAAGTGACAGCTGTGGTTATCTCGTGAAGACGTTCTTCAAATGATCAAAATCTAATTTTTAGATCATTTTTTTTCGAGCTAGGACAGTCGATGAAGTAAGATGACCAGGCCCTAGATGACCCATCACATATTCTCATACATCCTTTTTCATTCATTTGAAGCCAAACTCGAATTCGACCATGGTTGGATCTGCACTCAAAAAACCGCAGTCACTCAGACCTGAACTAGGCACGCCAAACCTCCATATACATGTACATCTCTACGTAAATAGTGATGTATTTTTTCGTGACTACAAATTAGAGTGAAAAAATTGCCATAAAATTTACAGACCTTGCCCTTACCACTTTTAGGTTCCTATACCACATTCTTTAAAAAAAAACAGCCATTATGCAGGATGTCTCATAAGTATTTACTCACTTTATAATCCTTGATATCTCTGTTCCCACGAAGTCTTTCCTCTGGTAGCTCCAAGTAACCACTTACTAGAGCAGACTTCAACTTACATGTGCAGTAGTGAATCACTCACCCAATTCTTCATAACTTTGGGTTTGTGGGAACTTTGGAGAGGACCCCCAGTGACTACACTTTATACTCAGTCTGCTTTATCATTAGGCTAAACTACGTCGCTGATTATGCACATAAAATTCGCACTTCACCATAATGCTTTTTCAAAGGTTATGCCAGGTAAATGACAACAATTTTTCCGTCTTCGAGAATTGTGACTGAAACATACGAGACGCTCAAAAATTTTGAGTAAAGTTGTCTAACGGAATCAGCATGTCTGAATACAGTGCTATTTCGTGTGCAGATTTCCAGATTTTTTTACGCTTTTTTGGATGGCTTATCATTTCACAATGGCGATGTATACTGGAAGTTAATATCGTAAAAATTGCGATGATCAAAATCGATTGGCAATCCGCATCATACTGTAAATCTAAGCTGAAGGTAGCTCTACGAAATGTTACATGAAACTAAGCTAGATACTTTCAAAAAGAGGAATATTAACGAATTGATTGTATTAGGTAGGTGCAAAAGTAATGCGCGTTTTCCGAGTTCTGAATTTGACGTGCTATAACTTTTTGATAAATCCACATTTTTCAGTGCTGTGAAGTTCATCAGAGGCACCAAACCTCTCTCTATACAGGGCACATTAACTTATGTAATTATCGCAAATCGGCGAAAAAATATGGATTGATAAGCAAAAAAAATTTTTTTTGGAAACCTCGTACTTAACTGATCATAACTTCCTTCAAGATTTGTCTGTATAAATGATAAGTTGACTATCTTGTAGCCGCAAACCAGTAGTAGAAAAAAGTACAAAAGTGCCCAAATGAAGAATATTTGCGAAAAGGAAAAAAATAATATTTAAAATTGTCCACTTTAAGGAATTCCATGGGCCACAGAATGGCCAAAACCACCACTCATGTTGAGGCGTCGAGATCTAAGTAATTTCTGGGAAAACATTAAAACGTGCATAACGTAGAAAATTTCCACTACATACAGTAGTTAAATTTTCAAAAGAATGCCTTTGCCCGCGCATGAATTCTGGCCCAGAAAGTGAGTGCAATGAAATTCTGGTTTTGAGTGCGGTTGTATGAATCTTTAAATTTTTGACGAGTGAGGCTAGAAGCTTCCATCAACCTCCGTTGAATAGAGCATGAAAAAAGCTTCTTGAAAATATGCTGGTTAAGTTTTATAGGAAAAAATTCGCTGGAGATAAGCTATCTTGAAACAAGGGCTCGAAAAACGAAAAAAATTACTTTTGCACCAACCTAACACTTAGAGTAGAAATGAGGGTATATTAAATGAGATGTAATGAGATCAGTGAAAACGAAAGTTTAACTTTTGCCCAAGAATTAGAGGTAGTGTAGCTTTCTTGGTGGCCCATAATCAGTAGTTCCCAAGAAATCTGCGAAAGTGTAGACTGTAGAAAGCTACTTTTGGGATCCCTGTTTATACCCGTAAATTTTCTATTCCACTAGAAATATTAGTTTTGGCATGTAAGAGAAAACGGTGGGGCAATCTCATATGCACACTATGCTTATCTGACTGTTCAGAATCCAGAAAAGTGGGACAGCTGCAAAAAAAGAAAGCTTCAAAGGAGGAAATGCTGCCATAGACTGAACTTGCACTTTGTTTTCACTGACGGAAAGGATCTAATCCGTTTCCTCACCTCTTCAATCAAAAAGCTGTCAGAATCTCACACTTGGAGTGCTTAGGAGGTCACTTCCTTGGTCACGATCCCCCTTATAACTTAGGCGATTGACAATCCGCGAAAAGATGCTGCATCCTTGATAAAACGTTTACTTTTGAGTATTTGTTTATGCGGAAAGCATTTGCCCCGCATGACTCACTGCATTCTCCCCACTCGAATGTGATGTTCCGATTCGATGCGAACAATGATGTTGACCGGCTACAGCTTTGTCGAGAATCTCTTTCAGATCGTCAAAGCTGTGACTCAGACCTCTGTGCTGAGTCGTGCTGGCGGTGATGCAGCAGGAGCTCCTCGACTGCATCACATTTCCTTACGACGATGCCACTAGAAGAAAACTCTTGATTCTCTACAAGCAGAAGGTAAAAAACATGGGTTTATAATAAAATACTCAAAAAAATATGTTCATGTATAGGAGTCTCTCTTTGATGGTGAGATTCTGCAGGAACATTTGCTCAGCCAACCGCTGCTTGGAGTGTTCCTACTGCTTTTCGCTATTTTTTCGCTAGGATCCTTCGTATTTGCCATCATTTTCATCGCCTGCAGAGCCCTTGGCAATTGTGGAGCGAAACGATATCAGGTAAATATTATTCAGCTTTTCCATTGCTAATATATCAATCATTAGCTTTTCTTCTTCCAGACTCATCCAACCAAAGGAAAGCGGTATGTCCTATTCCTAGTGATGGTAATCATTTCGTGGGTCGGACTGGCAGGAGCGACTGTACATTTTTTGACATCCGCTATAGCTTTGTGGAATCCTCCCCTCGATGTGGACACAAACGAAGTACCAGATCTCCATCATCAATCTGGAGGGCATGCTGTAAGTTAATCGAGATGAAAGTAAAACGGAGAGAAAACTGATTTTTTTTCTCAACTTTTGTCTCCTTTCCTATCTTCATTCTGATAATCATATGCAACTTTGTCTTGCAATGAGTACAACGAGTCCGAATATTTTCAAGCGTTTGCGATAAAGTTAAAGATATTAGCAATTTTTTAATATCAGCTGCATTCCCTATGAATCGTGAAGTGGGAAAAGTTTGAGATTGATGAGTGTCAACTGGAACTTTTTTGAAAGTCATTTAGAAAACTAATGTTGGTATTTTTACATATATTTTTGTGGAGATAATTTATCGCTATGACTGTATATACTTATACTATATACTTTACTTACTATACATATATATATTATACTTCACTGCTTTATCAATCAAACTGCGAATGAGAGGCAGACTAATACTACAGAATACTCATTCAAACATTCTTAAACGATGGCATTTAGTGAATGAACTATATTTTAAACATGAGCAAGCTTCATCTAATGCTTGAGTATCGTCCCAGTCTAGCTAGATCCCTCCATCTTTTTTTCAGTTTTCGAGGTAATCCTAATCTGTCACGAATGCTCTAAGTTTATGCCTTCATCAAATTAAACTTATCATAACCAGGTTGTCTTCGTAGATTAACGGAAACGTAGCCAAACTTCGAAGATGAACATCTATTATGTTTAGTTTCCAACTTAGTTTCCTCGTGAAAACCGACCTTCTGCCTCCTTCCACAAATTCTAATGTACAGAAAATACCACTTCCTCGTTACCCGTTTCATTAGAATTTGGGCTCGAACAAGCTTATATCTTCTCCTCATTTCTGTTTTGTATTTCATTGTGGTTGCTATGCCTGTGGAAGAAAAACTCATAGCTGTTATCTACAACTAGCCGGAGCCCAAATTTGAAAACGTAAAGGTGAATGCCCTCCCAACAGCGATGCACCAAAAGCTTTGGAAAGCCACATCCTTTAGTCTCAGACTTTTTTCGAGTACTTCAAATGAACTTATCGAGGTTGCTTGCAAAAACTACGACGCAACGCAATAACCAAACTTCTTCAGTATAATAAACTCTATGTGTATTCTACCCCATAATGTCATCGTTCCCCTCGCTGATTATCGTTAAATTATTTGTTCTTTATATCTTCTTTGTCCGTATCATTCATTCCCTCCTAACCCTGTTCATCTTTTATTCAATTGAAAAGAAGAATTCATTTGTTCAAGGCGCTACAACGAGATCGAAGAGACACTGATGACATGACTGTCCGGCAGCTTTTCGAGGATTCCGACTATGTTGGTGATTTCGAACAAATCGATGCGACTACTGCTGCCGCCTTTGTGACGGAAAAACTCCAGCCGAACTCTTCTACTTTGAGTGACTTGAAACAAAAGAAAAAGCTTGGTTGGTGTGTACTGTAAGTTCAAACGAAAAAGTTCAGCTCTTGCTTCCAGTTGACCTCAAAGGGGCAAAGCGGATACGGTATTTCTATGGACAGCACACGAAACCGAGTACTGCTGCTACTTCAAGCACATCGTCATCTCCAAAGTACTTCGCAATTAAAACCAAGGTGCTTCCATTTGTAACTTAGCACTGACAGCTTATATACCGTTACCTAATGATATTTTCAAGTCTAACACTGAGATAAAGTCAAAGAATCCTTCAACAGTTTCACCACAGTATGGACGCCAACCTCATGCAGGATTCATGACCCGTGGGATTGCATCTGTAAAGGTAACTGTGCCCAAATCTCTGTTCTAGTGATGAAGTTACCATTTGACCCAGGCTATCCGACAACCTTTCGTCTCCGATACCTGGAGCAACGCAGGAAAGCAAGCTTATTATCGACATCATTTGTCACCAACGGTACTTTTCCTTCCAGTTGAGCTCTTCGCTTTTTTCATAAGCAATTTTTCTTATTCTTACCTATTTGTAACCCTAACGAAACATCAGGATGTTCACGACTAGAAACTGAAATTGTGGAGAAATATGTGGCACTAACAATTTTTCACAGCTTTTGAAAAGATATTAGAATTTCTATACTAATGTTCCGCTTGATACTCGACGTATTTCTCATTATCATTGAATCTTTAAAATACTAGCTTCGGTTTTGAATCAAACAATTTCTAAATACACTCCATGTAATTCTGGAAATCTGAGCTTGCAAGCGGCGATCGTGGACTACTAAAACACCAAAGCCCATAATTTTTGAACAGATTGAATGTCTAATATATGATCATGTTTATTGCAGACAAACTCCTCGTCTTCGTCATTAACAGCGATTGTTTTGGATAATTCGGTCACACGAACAGAACAGCCCGATTTGGTACTTTCCAATCCAAAGGAAGCCGCTGAAGTAGAGAGCCTCCTCCATAATTTCATCGCTAACGATAGTGTGGAGCCAGCAGAAAAAGCATCCACGACCACATTGGTGAGCACAACAACGACAGAGGTGACTGAACCGAGCACTTCTGTCGTTACTACTATGGAAACCACCATGGGAACCTCACTGTCGTCGGAGATCACAAGTACGGAAGAAGCCACTGCGACTCCTATTACAAGCACGACTGAATCGGAAAATGGACACACTACAACAATTGAGACTGCTGAAACTGAAAAAGAAGCTGAGACAAGCACCCAGCCATCTGAATCTTCTGAAGAGACAGATGCCACTACTTCCATCGAAATCAGCGGTGAAGTATCTGATTTTTCCGAAGAAACACAGACACCCGCCTTGGGCAGTGAAGAATTATTCTACACTAGTGATAATCCATTTGTGTCTTTGACAAGTGAGGGAACAACTGAAGCAGGCACTACCTCTCCCACTGCGAGTGTCCAGACAACAGCCTCGACCACCACATCCGCCGATACGACTGTCCAGACGACAACCTCAAAGTCGACAACGTTAACAACCACCACTACGACAGAACTTCCAACCGAGTCGACCACGTTTACGACGTTGATCAAAACCACTCTTCCACCAGCTACGATGCCGTCCACCACAACCGAAACGGAGGCGGCTACGGTCAGAACGACGACTGCAAAAACCTTTAGAGCCCCCTCGAGATCGGACAATGTCGAGAAGAAACACAAAACAATTTACGTTGAAGAGGTACGTCTCCTTCCACTCGTGATCCTGTTTGATAGTGCTTCGTTGTTTTGAGGACAAACTGGTCGCTTTGAAAGTCCCACCGACATTGCGTGTGATGCAGCTGAACTCTACAGCTGCACTTCTTCGACAGCAGGATCCCTCCGAGGTTCCGGTGTGTTAAGAACGGATTAACACAAATACAGTAATTCCTCACTAGATACTAGATATAGTGAGAGCTCTGAGAGAGCTTCATATCCCATTTTCAGCACGAGGTGGAAGGAAAAATAGTTGCATTTTAGGCTACTAATTCGTGCTCGAAAGAAAAGCGCATAAATTTCAGTACCGGGTGTAGTAGTATGCTAATGAGTATAATATCGAATATATTAATATTTCTCAAGGAACTTTCATTGAAAGCTGTCTCAAAACGAAGAAAATTCAAACTTGAACAGGATGTATTAGGTCGTAGTATAGGTTTTGTGACACTTTTTCCATTTTCCCTTCGAAAAAACTCTAGAAACTTAAGCAAGGTCAAAAAATTGGCACAGATGAGCGATGGTTGAAGAACTGTCTATTGGTGTCATGCCCAGATATGTCCATGTTACAGATATGGATTACAGTAAATATAAAGGCAACTCTGTGGCGGCACGCGAATCTCCTTTTTCTTTTCTCTTTGAAAAATCTCATATTCTTATTTTCCATGCTCCCAGATATTTCATGGATTTCTTAAGTCTAGGCTGTTCAGTAACGCAATATTAATGTTACGACCTAATACAAAGAGTACCCAACAGCCAATGTAGCATTTGGAATTCCTTCCACGCATTAACACGTTTCGGACCGCGAAATCGCGCGCGGCGAAAAACAGTGTATAGGGCATTTGAAAAATCGTGACGATGGCGCGACTGCGCGCGACACGCACGCATTCCCATTTTTTGGTTTATATCTTTCATCAAATAGTTTCCCTGCTTAAATACGATAGTATTCAGACACTGGAAGTGACTGAGCTAAGCGTTGAGGTGATGCCATTTTGTATGAGTGTTTTATGCTCCTGTGTGCGCAAGGACCGCAGTCAACTCGTCATCACGATTTTAAAAATGAACCATACTTTCAACCGTTAGCCAACGAAGGGACCTTATTTCAAGAATGTGTGCTACATTTGTAATCAGCATGTTAGATAAGCTCCATACCCAAAGTTCTGAGTGAATTCGAAGTGTTTGAATTTTGTCGCTTGAGAAGGACTTCTGTGCTTTCTTGAAAGATAGGAACAAGAACTCAGTTTCTAATAGTATCCAAAAGTATCTATACTGTACACGCTACACATCAGTATTGAAACTCCGGTTTTTCTCTTCGAAATCGGAGCAAAGAAAAGTTGCGACATCGCACGCGTCGTTCGCGTTGCCGCACTTCGTTGCAACTGTTGTTCGATTCGTCTTCATATCTTCTAAACAAATATCAGCGGCACAATTCTACAGAGTGATTTGAAAAGTAGAAGCTTACGCCTTTGACTTGATAACCTTGGACAAAAAGAAAACCTCCTGTCAACGTTAAAAAGATCCTTCAAAGCCGCGTGCTGCACCATGTGCAGTACCGGTCCGAAACGTGTTAAATTGTCATTTTCAGGGGTACTTGTACTCAAGCTTAATTTATACGTAGAGCCAAATGCAGACCTTCTAAAAATAAGAATGCTGCAGACACCACACACTTTACAAGTCTAGTCTTCCTCTCATTTTTAGATGAGAAAAACCCCAACTTAAACTTTCAAAATCTTTTTCGAGGCATAATGATTATGCCTTCGTACATTCTCTGTATGACACCTGAGTCGTTATAAATATTCAACGACTTAGATAAAGGATCAAACATTCAGAACCGGACATTTGTTTTGATCTTGTTGCGCTTCGTTCTGTAAATTTTTCGAGCTTTCACCGTAACCTCACAATAATTTTTTCGCCGAGAGCAGCTACTCGCAATGTGACCTCTTCTCAGTCAACCATAAATAACCACTAAATTTTTGTACACCAACAAAAGTAACTAACGTTATTTTTCTGCTATTGCTTTTTTGAGAGCCTTTCTAGAAATGAGAAACTATTACGGATGGATTTTGTTTGCGCAAAGATAGTACCCGGAGTCGTGCTACTCCATATCTCCACAATGATAAGCACTATAGAAATGAACAAGAAAAGAACAGTCAGCTATTACTTTATCGAGTTTCGCGCTTTCATTTTATAGAATGAAAATACTTCCATTCATGTTCAGCTTCGTATAAACAAAGCTCAAATTGCAGAAGATCCAAAGGAAGTCGCGCTTTGAAACGCGCAGTACGTTCCCTGCTGAAAAACTCACCGTCATGAGCAAGCAAAATACAACTGTGGGTTTGAAAGCTGTCAGTTCTTGGTTAGCATAGTTATTTCGAAAATATGATGTCGCACATTCCAGAGTGCTGTCATGCCGGTGTTTCAAGAACAAACCTCCTGGGCCGCTCGCTTCTTCGTGCTTTTTATCGGTATCGTGATGGTGCTTCTCACTATACCAACTCCTATTCTAGTCACTGCAGGTAAGTGAAAGCCGTGCGGGCAAACTCAAGCTGCTCATAATTTAGAATTATTGGTGCCTAATTGTAAAAACCAGTGAATTATAGATTTGCAAAAATCTCGTTAGTTCTGATAGATTTGTGATTTGAATGCAAACTACCTGAAACCACATAAAGATTTCTTATGAACTAAAAGGAGCGGAGGTACTCGAATTTGCCTTGGATCCAAACCACACAATTCCAATATCCCAATCAGGGTCAAGCGTGTTGATGCGATCCGGGACCCTCATTTAAGACCCCCCTTGAAGGTACCCATCCGCACGACCCCTCCCCCTCCCTTCCCCCCCCCCCCTCACCCTCCCCATCTATACCCCTCACCTCCCCTGCCCACATTCCTCGAGGTAACCTGCATAAATGAATGTCAATCTCAAAAAACACCTGCGTGAGAACTTCATTGAGGTTTCGGAAGCAGAATTTCTAGGCCAGTGGGTGCGCCCAGCTTCTGTTGCAAATATACACACCTTCAATAATGTTTGAGATTCTGCAAGTTTTTTTTTGAATTCTCAGGCATACTTCAGACCAGCAAATTCTGTTCTCGTATGCGACACAAATTTTTTCACGGAGAAAAAGTGACATTTTTGAACTACAAAAGATGTTTTCGACTAAGAAGCTTACTTCCTACCTCTTCCATAGTTTTTCCCGTGGAAAAAACCGTCTTAGCGCCATCCAGAAAGACGTCAAAAACGTGCATGAGCACGGTAGTTTGAAAATTTGTAACTAAGGCCAGGAAAAGATCGAGAGGCTGGAAAGCATAGGTCTTGTAGCATGATGCCCAGACTATCCATAGAAAAAGTTTCAGCCCTTGAGGATCAGCAAGCTCGAAAAAATTTAGATGCGACTCTCGCAAATTTAGATGCGATCCTAAATAGCAAAAACTGGGATTTTTGAGCTTAAAAATTTGTAACTTACCAGAGAAGTTATAAAACAGCCTGCAATATTTATGAGGGAAAGTAGGAGGATGGCCTCATATTACAGCAAAATTGCAGCCAACAAGCTCCGATAGCTCCGGAGAAATTTAGATGAGGCGCAGATACGACCCCCCTTTTCTCATTTTTTGCTACCGTATATAAAATCATAAAAAAATCCACAGTTAACAAAATGACACCAAATTTTGCACTGATATAGTAGAGCATCTCCAAAGTACAGATAAATCATATGGGTCTTTGAAAAACATTACAAAAAGATTTAGAAATTCATGATGGTCACAGCTGGTAAAGATATTCGCTTTTGTTGAGTGTGTGAGACTTCAGGAAGGCTTCAGAAGCAAGATTTTTAGGGCAATCGGTACATTTAGCATTTCTATCAACTCATACATCCTTCAAAAGTGTTTCGAGCTCTTGTAAATGTTTTTCTTTGAGAATTTTTACAGATTTTTTATCTTTTCATTCTGATTTCCACTTTTTTGTAGATTTATTGTAAAGAACATAACTAATTATTGCCTTTTTGATTCCCTTTCAAGCTTAGGGTATTTTAGCCTAACTACCTCCTCTTGCGCCCCCCCCCCCCCCGCCTCAGTCACCCTCTTTACGACCCCCCGTTGCGACAGTCGCATTACAAGCTTGACCCTGATCCCGATACAAACTTCTATGTTGAGGCTTGGGGCAAATAATTTTCGCATTACAGGTACGGTTTGCTATATGCGCAGTTACCACCCTATGGATAGAACCGCATTTTCTGAGAAGGTAAAATTTGTTACTGAAAGATGAGGTAGGGCATAAGTCAATGCTTAAAGTGCTTCAGGTTGGTCAGCTGTGTGTGGTTCTTGCCACGGTGTTCCTGTTCTTCACTCCTTGTCTCTACTTTTATCTCGATGTACTACTCGCCTATATTCACGTATATTTTGCTATGTGTCCCTCTATACGGTTATTGGTGAGTTTGGAATAACAAAGAAGAAGTCAAAATGAATGCGAACACATCTTTAGCACCAATATAAAAGCTTATCGCTGGAAGAACTCAGCATGCTGGACGCAAAGCTATCAGGTAGCAGCAATGTTCAGGCTTGTCGAAGGAGTTCAGAGGCATACGAGGTTCCTATAAGGATATTTCAAAAAGAAGTGATTTTGATATGAAAATGACATACTTGCATAATCCGCATATGCTATACTTATCGTGTCACTTAATGAATTGCAGGCAATTTTTTGAATGGAAGTAATTGATAGACTGCTAAGGGGATGCGATTTGTATCAAATATGAAACACTCGTTACTTTCTCGTTTTTGGCTTTCACTTTCTGTCATCAAAGAAGATAGTTCAGTCACAGTTACATACCTACTAATCAAGCAACATTTGCTTAGGTTTTATAAAGTTTTCTCATCAGCTTAATAGCAGGGCGACCCCGATATCCGCCAGTTGATCCGGCTGGAAGGCGGAGCTTTGTGACCTGATTGCCGCTCTCGCCCTCCAAGCAGTCGGCGTCTCTCTCGGGCTCGTGCTCTCTGATCATTCTCAAGCCTCAACTAAGTCACGAAGCCCGCCTTCCAGCCGCCAACCCAGTTGAATCAAAGGGTACCTTGAAACAATAGCAAATGGAGTTTTGAGAAAATTAAGATCCTTCCCTCCCCCCCCCCCCCTCAACCACAATGGAGCAACAGAATTTCGTGAAGCTCTTGCCTTTTTCAAAAACCTTCAAAAGAACTTCGAAAGGCCGTTAGAAAAATTTTTTCAAAAGACATTTGAAGAAGATTTTCTTGTAATGCTGCTCTAGAACAGTTATTTTGCTACATTTGTCCTCTATTTTTTCTGAGTTCAGGGAATCTGGTCGGCGTGCTTCGCATTCGTACTCTTCTCCATTCCGACGCTGCTTGCCCTGTTCAAGCTTTCCAAGTACTACCTCCGCATGAAGACCGAGTACTACTGGAACGTCGGTGACGGATACGGGATAATACGGCCGAAAGTGGCCACAACCACCGACGCCGTCTACGGCAACATCTACGGCACCGTCCAGAGGAAGAGACCTGGCACCAAGCCCCCTCCCCGTCCGGTACAGCGATCCCCCGTTGCGGACCGGGCCACATATGGGGTGTACATCGAAACACCCACGTACGGAGTGTTCAAGTAAGAGTCGTACGTGGCCAGCATAATTTCCAGAAACATTCCTCTCCCTTGTATCTTATCAAGCGATTCATGTTGCCTTAAGCTGTGCAAAGAACAAAATAAGGGTATTTTGAGTGTCTTTGATTGTATGCTTTGCTAATAATTACTTTTCTTTTGAATAAAATGTAAATATATGGCATAATGATGTACATCAGCTGGATAATTTTTCTATTAGCGTTGAAACCGTTCCTAACCTCATAGAACCGATCACAATCGAGAAAACTTTGAGAATGCAGTACGAGTAAGTGGAACGATTTCAAGATCTCTTGTAACCAGCCAAGAAGGGGAATCTCTCCAAGCAAAGCAACTTCAAAGAATGTGACTGGGTAAAGCAAGGGAGGAGGAGCAATTTACGATTGAGATAAGTATCGTTCATGTTATTCGATTGTCCTCAAGTCTGTTCGTTTTGTACCAAAGCAAGAGCCTATCTTCGAACTCAACGCAAGCAAGCTACATTTTCCTGCGTCCGTACATAAAATGACAATAAGCAATAGTAGGTAATCCAAAGGAATCCACATTTGCATATGTTATTCGATCTTCACTTTCCTGAGATTAGGTCGTCCCGAAAGTTCTTTCGCACCAAATTTGAAAATTCATAATTTCTGATTTCTAGAACCGATTAGGCTGCTTTAATTTTTCTATGAAAGAATAAGTTATGCTCTTTATAAAGACATTTTAGCTGCTTGCTAATGATCATCTGTTTTGCATAGATAGGAGCGGTAGAAGAAAATTAGTTCAAAATTCGAATTTTTTGTGTAGGGTCTTAAAAAGTCTGAAACTTGCAATAAAAATCTGAGCAGCTGTTATTAAGGTTTCATCACTTGCTCTTTCTAAATGTGCAAACTTTGTGCTGATTGAACATTTCTATGAAAAGTTACGATTTTCGAGCAAGTGTTACAAAAAGGCAATTTTGATTTATATTGGCATTTTTCAGAAAAATCATAACTTTTCGTACGCTCAATCAGCACAAACGTTGCATATTTAGAAAGAGCAGGTAACAGAACCTATAATGCCAAATACTCAGATTTTTATTCCAAGTTTCAGATTTTTTATGACCTTACACAGAAAACGAATTTTTACTAATTTTCTTTTTCGCTCCTATCTATGCAACAGATGATCATTAGCAAGCAGCTAAGATGTCGTTATAAAAAGCATGACTTACCCTTTCATATAAAAATAAAGTCCGTTAAATCTGTAGAAAAAATCAAAAGTTATGAACTTTAAATTTGGTGCGAAAGAACTTTCGGGACAACGTAATATGATGGAAAATTGCCGAAACGGTAAACATGTGTGATAGTTTGAACCGACAATTTTGTCGCACCGTAACTTCGTTCCACTTCGATTTATTTGCAAAAGATAAGACTTATCAGAAAAAGCAAATTACGTACTTTTTTGATTCCAGAGATAAAAATAAGAGAATAAACTAAGGGGCCTATCTCACCTATTCAATCAAATTCAGAACAGATAAGTAAGAAAAAAAATGTCGTAAAACTTGTGGCAATAACTGTTTTGGATTATATCGCACAGCTAGGGTTTGCTTAAAAACACCAAAACTCGGATGATCTTTCTCCTCTATTCACTTCGCAATCAGAGATTAGTGGAGAGCTTCCAAGCTGCCACCAAAAAGCAAATGATTCATTCTCGTGATGAGATTTTCTATCGAAAACATTGTTTGGTGCGACAGAATATCCTCTTCAAAGTATGAATATAGGCTTCTGGAGCTCATGCATATCGAGAAGACCTTACCCACAACAGACAAAACTATGATGGAACCTAGCAGCTTCATGAAATATGTGAAAGATGCTGACACAAAACTTGGTCTTTGCAAGCCTCAGCAGGTTCAACGACCAGGGCGTGTGCAGGGAGAAGTACTAGATTGGAGACGATGACTAGCTTTCTGTTCAAATCGTAGTTTGTGTCTAAGTAATCGAGACTGTTCATTAAAAACAACGAGCAGAAAACAACAACAGATCGATAAGATAATGCGCAGAGTTATCAAAGCAGAAACAGGGTTATCGCCGTTTGCACGGTCAAAAACGGTCGCTGAGTGACGGAACTTTTCAACCATGGATGAGCAGGTATGTCAATCTTGAATCAGAATTTTTTTGATGGTTATATGTTTTCCAGCCCACATAAGAAAATTTCGGGTTTTTGTGCCTCGTACTTTTCTAAGTGATCCTCGTATAGGCAAAAAGATCCTAAAATTGCAATTCCAGCTAATAACGGTCGCTCTACCCTGAAGATATTCGTGCACAAATATACGTCCTGTTTTGACTCTCATAGAAAAATAACTGCTAACAAAAATATCTTATGGGTTATCGTTCACGTTGGTTTACAATAGCTCATGTTTACCCAATGAAGAAAGTAAAAATAATACCTAATTTCTGTTTCTTTCTAACAGTAAAGACACAAATTTTAGCTTTAACCCGGACAGTGCATGCATTGTAGTTCATGTGATCTGAACGAACGTTTTCATTCTATACTTTTATTTCTTGCTTGTTATAAAAAGACCATAGAACTGCTCCCAAAATGCGATGAATTTTTCCTTCATTGTGACTCAACTACCAACTAATGACCCCTCATTAAGGTTCTTGATTATGAACTAAAACAAGTAAACGCCTATACTCTTGTGGCTGATACCGCTTTGTTGATTGGCTTTGGTAAGCTTCATATTTTCTTACTCCTTATACTCAGATCATTCCACCATTCCAAAAATTTTATCCAGGTTTGATTGGAGGTCTGTTTGTACCAATGGTGTTAGGAACTTTTCACAGAGGATTCTTCTGCAATGATCAATCAATTATGTACATATATCGAAGTGATACTGTAACGACCACAATGCTCCTAATGTATGCATTTTTGGTGATGATTATGACGGTGAGAGCATGCCTAACAACAGTGCTCAAAATCTGCTAATTTTTATCCAGATCACCGCGACGGAATCCTACAGAGCGAAAAGGCAGACCCCGATTCTCAACTATCGGTACAAAGTGGGCAACACTTACATACATACAATTTTTGCACAAATCCTCAGAAATTTTGGTATGGGTGTTCTTGATAGGAATTTCTCTACTTATAAGATTAAATTATAGGCTACTCCATTATTGGCTTGGTTTGCGTCCTCGTTCTCACTCAAATCACAAAATGTTGTGTTGGACGACTGCGGCCGCACTTTCTCGACGTATGCAGGCCCTTGAACTTCACTTGCCGTAGCGATCAGTACGTTCCTCAACAGAGTATGAGGACTTTCGAGAAGTTCTGGGAGTATTCAGGTACTACAGCGACTACATATGTACAGGTGACCCACTGATGGTGGAAGAAGCACGAAAGTCATTCTTCAGCGGTCATTCATCCATTTCAATGTACGCCTCGACATTCTCAGCGGTAAGCATAATCCTATGAAATATGATCTTCGAGTAGCGTAAGGTTGCGCGAATGTTGTTTACGATTATAAAGTCTAAAATTGTTCCAAATATACGATAATAATATAGATAATAATATATACTTATATTATATAATATAACAAGTCTTGTTTCGTTCTTTGCAGTACTAGTCTTTACTAGTAAAAGCGCTTTTTTAACTCATTTAGGCCACATTGAATAATCTAGCTCTGAAAACATGAATTTGCAACCAAATGCTCTTACAGAGTAGCACAATTTCTTTTTTTTTTCTTGCATCTGATCATAAAACAAAGCCATCTTGGATGACTGTCTTACTTTGTTGTTGTTGTTGTTTCATTTAGATGTGATGATAATAAAGTGCAGATGTTGCAGACGTCTGCACTGTACTATTTCATACGTCTTCGACCTAAACACTTTTGAACTCTTTCTTATCGCTTAAAGCACAGGAGATGCAGTGAAGAGTTTGAGTCCAACTAGACTAACTGAACTTGCTGCTAAATACGCTAACAGCAAGTTCCGCCTACCTTCGATTGGTCTATTCCGACTCAAACATTTTCGCTGCATTCCACGAAGTGCTGAAGGAGTTTCATTGGAAACGCATAGCCTTGTGTTACCACCATAACTGTATCGACATCCCATGCAGGCTCTGACCATTACACATCTTCTACAGTATTTGTGTTGCAGCTCTACTTGTTAGCACGAGTGCCTCGGCATTCGATCGGCAGAGTGTTTCTTCCCGTCTCACAAACAGCTCTTCTTGCCATTGGTAAGCATAAAAATTCTACAAGAAATTTGCAAATATGGTATGTACCGTTGATTCACTGACCGCATGGACTCCTCAAACGTTGCGGACCACGCGCGGCGCGACTGAATTGTTGCAAGTACAATTTGTACAACGGCGAATTTGTACTGGGGGAAGTGTTTTACTTCATTGCGCGTGCTCCGCAGTGATGTCCAGCCCGTGCGGTCAACGAATCAGCGATACATACACTTGAGTTATACTGAAAAGTAATGTCCCTACACAGCAACAACACTAGGCGAAATCCGCTTTTCAATTTAGGGCTCTTGCGCACATAGGAAGCATCCCCCAGAATTGTTCCCAAACGTGGCTGCCTTCCAATCGTTGTATCACGGCTCCAGGAAATTTAAGGCGCTTATTCAAACTTGTCATGCTGAGACGATCGAAAGGCAGCTAAAGGCAGCCATGTTAATAGTACCTATGGGAACAATTCTGGGGAGATGAACGATACATACTATACTTGAATCCAAGAAGGTAAGCTCGATGAGGAGTTCAAGCCAGGTTTTGGCGCGATTGGCACATGGGCGAAAAGAATATATATTATGGAAGTAAAAGCAGAGGGGTTTTAAATATACAGTCAGGGGCCGGACGAAGATGGCGAATGATACTTACTTAGATACTTAGATGGCCCATCCTCACGTGACGTGCGGGCCCCAGTACAGAAGTCGCCAGTTTTCCCTGTCCCTCGCTTCAGACATCCACGATCTTCTTGGCCGTCGTCGGTGGCTGCGTCCACGAGTCCCAGGGGCGAAAGTCGTATCCAGCTGATTTCTCAGCTGGTCCATCCGTTCCACGAACACGTCTGCCCATCTCGTCGGTGGTCTTCCTCGAGGACGTTTGGCTTCGCGAGGAATCCACTCCGATGTTCTTAGTGTTCATCTGTCGTCTGTTCTTCTCATTATGTGACCGGCCCATCGGTGTTTGGCTTTCGCGACGTATTCCGCTGGGTCACGAAGACGGGACATTCTTCTCATATCCGTGCTGCGAAGTCCGACTAGATGTTGCTTGCGTCGGGTCATCTTCAGAAGACTGCGCTCGAGCGCTCTGTGGGTGGTCCGTAAAGCTTTCGACGTGGCTACAGTGTCGGCCCAAGTCTCAGCTGCGTAACAGAGCGCCGGGAGAACGGTTGAGTCGAACAGGTGGGCACGAAGCTCCGGGTCCGTCAGTTGGTCGGTGGCTTCCTTCAGAGGCCCGAAGGCGGCCCAGGCTGCTCTTCTTCTCCTGTTAAGTTCTTCCCTCAAGTCGTTCTCCATGTTCATCGAACGTCCGAGATACACATAGGAAGACGTCTCCATAATCGGGGTGCCTTCCAATTCCATTTCTGCATCTTCGCAAAGGGCGTTCTTCATGAACTGGGTCTTCTTCCGATTTATTCAGTCCTATCTTCTTCCTTACTTCGTTTAGTTCCTTCAGCATCGTCTCTGCTTCGGTGATACTGCTCGAGAAGAGAACGATGTCGTCCGCAAAACGAAGGTTGGACAGGAATCTCCCATCAACTCGTATGCCTCTCTCGTCCCAGTCCAGTGACTTCATCACCCACTGCAAGGCCGCGGTGAACAGCTTCGGCGAGATTGTGTCGCCTTGTCGGACCCCCTTCCCGATTGGTATGGTCAGGGGGCGATGGAATAGCTGCATCATCGTTGTACAGTCCTTGTAGCAGTCGGCTAACGTCCTCATGTAAGCTGGGTCCACTCCTTGATCGATTAGCGCAGACGGATGGCGTTGGTTTCGATGCTGTCAAAGGCTTTCTCGTAGTCGAGAAAGGTTAGGACGAGAGGCAGTCGGTACTCCCTGCAGACTTCTATGACCAAAACGGTCTGGATGTGGTCCATGCAGCTGAATCCTTTTCGAAATGCAGCTTGTTCTTGGAGTTGGGCTTCATCCAGTGTCCTTGATATGCGAGCGAGGATAATCTTCATAAAAAGCTTGTACAGCACACTCAGCAAGCATATTGGACGGTAGTTCCGAAGATCCTCCCGTTCACCCTTCTTGAAGAGAAGGACGGTTCTTGACGTTCTCCACTGGTCGGGAATCTTCTCCTTCTGAAGGTAAGATGTCAAATGCGACGCTAGAATCTCGTGTAGACGGTGTCCTCCGGCTCGCAGAAGTTCGACGGAAAGATGATCTGGTCCTGGACCCGTGGACGTCTTCATAGTCTGTTTGGCGAATGCTAAGCTGAAAATCGTTTTGGGGAAAAGCAAAGCGAATTTCGATATTACACGTGCATATGCACTACGTACTTCCTTTAACAAGTTGCTACACGACTGACTGCAACAACAGATGATGTTGGCGCGTCACCTTCAAAAGCACCGTCTACCCAAAATCTCGTCTTGAATGTTTTTATTGTTATCAGGCCTTTCCATGGCGCTGATTTCGGATAGAATTCAAATTACCAAAAAGCTCCAAAATTCTCCCTTTCTGATGAACTATTTTGGCAGACGTGGACGAGTACGCCGGGGTTAGTCATCGTATGCTACAGAAAGCCTCGTCGTATGCAACAGTGTCACATCACAAACTATGCGTTCGACGTTGCGTGTCACGTCAGAACGTCACGGGGCAATCCATGGGTGGGTGGAGCGCAAAAAAGGGGGTGGAGCGCAAAGAGAGTCCTGGTCCACTATCTCCTTTTTTAGGCAACATAGAGAATAAATATGTGAGTAAAGGTTACGGCATGTTTTTTCTGGAAAATTTCATTAGTAAAAAATGAAAAAAATGGCTCATTTGCAGCGCACAGGTAGCGATTTCGCACAAATTTGAAGTGTATATGTGCGCAAAGGGAGGTTACACAAAGTGTGAAGGATTCTGAAAATTTATGTGAGTGAAGAGCGTGTCCGATATTTTTTCAAATTACATATGCGTATGACCATTTGATATCAGCCTGAAAGTGACTTTCAATTCACTTAAATTTTCTCCTATCATCTACTCTATGACTAGTGGACGCAGGACCGCATTGCAGACACTGTCTTAACAGATCTGAGTTTGTTCTTCCCTGTTTCCAAAAAGTGAATGAGCCTGGACGAGGTAATTAACAAGTATAGACTTGCTGAGTACACGATTAAGCTTGTTTATAAGCTCCTGCAAGACGAAGGCGGTCGATTCAATGCGCAACGCGGCTGCGACATGGCTGCGTCACAGCCGAGTCACAGCCGCGTCACAGCTACGTCGTACCTCGAACCGACCGCCTTCGTCTTGCAGGAGCTTATAGACAATACGTACAATGCGGTCTGGCATCTCTTAGGCCCGTATGCACGTACATCCCCGCTGGGATGGTGAGGGAATCTGAGAGGGTATGAATCATATCTCGCCACTGTAGATACCTTTCTTTCCTTCTCCATCCTGCTTGCAAAGTTTCTCATAACCTTATACCTGCGCACAGTGGATACCAGGTTACCTCCATACAAGACTGGTTTCTTGCCATTTTGTGTGATCCACAGGAGATCTCCTAGAGATCCCCAGGGGATCAGCCCTCATTTTCAAAGTGATTTATCTTCCTGAAAAGTCAATAAAACACTGCAAAATTGTACCGAAGATATATTACCACACTGCTTAGCATGTTTTTGACAGGAGAAATGAAATATGAAGATTGTAAATTTTTCGATGATCCCTAGCTCGCCAGCTAGGAATTACCGAAGATTTCGATATCCTGAGATCTCACTTATTTCTACTATAAACACTTTTAGCAGTGCCGCAAGTATATCTACAGTACAATTTTGCAGTGTTTTATAGACTTTACAGGAAGATAAATTACTTTGAAAATGAGAGCTGATCTCTACGGAATCCCCTGGGGATCACACAAAATGGCAAAAACCAATCTTGTATGGAGGTAACCTGGCATCCACTGTGCGCAGGTTTTAGGGTATGAGAAACTTCGAAAGCAGGATGGAGAAGGAAGAAGAAAGATACCTAGGGCCGCATGCACTAACCTCCCCGCTGGGGAGGGGATCGCAGCTTAAAAGAAAGCTTTATATTTCGAAACTCCAGATACCTAGATTTCACGTTGTGTACCTATCCGTAAGTATTCCTACTACCCTTCACTATGAACATGTTGAAGAGGAGCGAGAAGCTGTACGAACCGCATTTTCCAGCTTTTGTATGATCCCTGATGATCCCCTGCGCTTTCCTTTAAAGTCATTTTTCTTTCTCCGAAGTTAACGAAAACTTTCCAAAGCTATACTGAACATCTAACACAACAGTGCTATGCATGCTACTGATGAGAACAAATGAGTTTTTGAAAAGTCGAATTTTTCGTTAAACCTCAAATTTCGACCTGTGGATCATCGAAAATTTCATGACTTCAAAACATCATTTGTTCTTATCAGCAACATGCTTAGCATTGTCGGTTTAAATAATCTGCACCTTTTCGTTAGCTTTGGAGAAAGGAAAATGACTTCAAAGAAAAGCGCCGGGGATCATCAGGGATCATACAAATGCTGGAAACTGCGGCTTGTACAGCTTCTCGCTGCTGTTCAATGTGTTCATAGTGAAGGATAGTAGGAATACTTACGGTTACGTACACAACGTGAAATCCAGATATCTGGAGCTTCAGGATATGAGGCTTTCTTTTAAGCTGCGATCCCCTCCCCGCGGGGATGTTAGTGCATGCGGCCCCTAGAGTGGGGAGATATGACGCATCCCCTCTCAATCCCCTCACTCCCCAGGGGGATGTACATACGGGTCCTAGTGGTGGAATGAATGATCTATTCTGTTATACGCATAAGTTTACTGGTAACATTTCGGTCTGAAAACTTCGTCTCCTCTTTGCTGGAACCCAAAAAGCACCGAGGCCGGTGTTTTTAGGGAGGAAAGCACGCTCTTTTTGAGCGACTCACGCGACTGGCGCGATCAAGTGGAAATTTGTAAATTTTAGGGGCAGCAAAAACAAAATCGTTTCTTAGGTGTCCACTTGCAACTCTCATGCCGGGTCCGTATACATATGACAGTAAAATGTGGAATTTCCAAATTTTCTACACCTACTTTTCAAATGAAAATTTGAAGAGTACGCGTAGATGTAGATGTGCGTCGTGGTATCCTCGATATGAAGGCACTGTCCACCCAAATCCTCGACTTCCATATTTTGATTTTCCGGGGCCTTCTCATGTTCCTGCGAATATGAAGTAGAGAAACCGCGAAAACTTTGACAAGCCCCGTTCCAGGAAACCCGCAGGCCAGCTCTCTGGAACGGTGATCGGATGGGCGGGCATTACTGGAAGGGGGGGGGGGCGGTGCCCATTGGGGTCCTCATGCATCTTCATTAATCCGGAGCGATTTTCTCGTTTCCGAAGCGAGTTTTTGCGCCGCGGCTTGGGCATTGGCTTGATAGGGGTCCTACTACCATAAGCTGCCAAAGGTGAAAACCTTCAACCTCATTACCTTCAACCCTACCTTGAGGTAGGTGCCAGAGTAAGCGAATATTTTGTTCAAGTTGGGCGCCAGTTCTGCGCGGGACCCCAACTTGAACAAAATATTCGCTTACTCTGGCACCTACCTAAGGTGCACGATGCCTTCAAAGGCACCGGAGCACTGCCAGGTGTCCTCGTGCCTTCATTCGTTATTCCGGAACGGTTTTCTCGCGTTCGAAACGACGCCGCACTCGAACATTGGCTTAAAGGCAGCGTCCAGGCAGATCTGGACCTAAGGGGATTTTAGTGGGAAGGGGTGTATCGTGGGCCCGAAAAGCTGAACGCGGCATGCGCGGCGAAGCGGCCGCCGCGCGCGGCGTACCTCCTGACGTGCAGCCCTCTAACGGCTGAGAGATTCCCCTCGAAACTGGACCCCGCGATCGTATTCGCATGGATTCATGGCAGTTTCGCGCCAGGATCCACGCTTTGCGCCATGAATCCATGCGAAATACGATCGCGGGGTCCATTTTCGAGGTTAATATCTCAGCCGTTAGAGCACTCCTGAGCTGTTGGGAAGTGACTTAGTTAGAGCCCCAAAATTACAATCCACGTGAGATCCCCATGTGTCCAGACTTGCCTGGACGCTGCCTTTACTAGGAGGTCCTACTACCGTTGCTGCCAAAAGCTCAACACCATAACTCAGGATGTACGTGCCTTTACACCCCCCCCTCCCTCCCCAAACTGAGATTGATGAGGTTCGAATACTGTAAAACAGCATGCTACTACTTAAGAAGTCGCCCGATTAGCGCTGTAGAAGACCAAGTCAGACGCGAGAAAATTGCTTCAGAAAGTCGCCCATCAACATGCCTTGTACGAAGGTATGTCCAGAAAGGGACTGAATGATAAAATTGTCGAAAATCCGCCCTATCGCTACCAGACTTTGACAATTCTGGACACATTTTAGTATCAGTTTTAGACTATATATTGAATAGGGCGAAGGCCGCCAGTTCGAGTCGCCTTTCGCGGCCACCGGTCCTTTCGCAATGTTGCTGCATGTCGTTCCGGGACCATCGGCCGCGGAGGCGGCTCAAACTGGCGGCCTTCGTTCCCCTACCCCTATATCTTGAGTCCGCTGATGAATTGAGGGAGCACTTCTGCATCTACTTTCTGGAGCAAATTTCTCTTTGAAAGTCATCTTTTGCAGCTGAACTTGGGAGTTTAGTGAGGGACCTCCCTACTGTACCGTATCACCGTCTTCAGTTTGGGTGACGAAGAACATAGAACAAACTAAGACATGTGTATCACCCATATGCTCTGAACTGATCTTCTAAGGCTGAGTTCACACTGATCCCGGGGTTCGGGAACAGTTCCAGCATAGTGTTAAGTTCGAGCGCTGTGCTGGAACTGTTTTGGAACTTATGGATCAGCATGAACCCAGCCTAAGCGACCTTTGTGTGTTTTGATGAATCACATCTATGTCTAGGACTACTGATATCGCTCTCCAGGATCAACGACAACAAACACCATTGGAGCGATGTCATCATTGGGATCCTTGTCGGCATGTCTATAGCAGTGTACACGGTATTGGTTTTATGATTAAAAAAAAACAGTAGGCTAGAAGTGTGGTCAACAATGGTTCACATGAGTGATGCGAATTTACAAGCCATATAATAAAGCCGACGACAGTAGGAAAGTCGGTTTTGATTAGTGAGGATCGTAACATTTTTCAGTGCTATGTATGGGCCGGAATGTTTGCAAAGCAACGCAAAGAGCTTCTTCCAACAACACGACAACATACGGATTACCGAGGCACAGCCACATCGAACTCAACTCACACTATTTCACTGCAAACAAATGTAACGGTTAATATTTGCAGGTAATGAAAATAGCTTATGGAACACTATTTTAGGTACAGCCAGAAAGAAGCAACGGCATATCATGAGTGCAGTTGAATAAAGTGTTGTACATACTGGAAATTTTCACACTAGAACAAAAAAAATATTTATCCAGAGATCCAAAACACGTTTATTAAACAAATAACAACAGTGAAAAAATACCAACGGATAAATGTGCGGCATGAAACTGGCCCGCACGTTCTCCTTCCAAAACACGGCAGCGCCTGAAATCGAAAAAATCTCCATTTAGATACTTTTCAGAAGGATTTGAGTTTATGAGATATGATTTATTGACGCAGGATATTTGAGAAAAAAAAACGTCGGCTTTCGTCAATGTTACTGACTAAATAATTTTGAGGCCTCGCAGATTGATCACTCTTTCGTTGTTGTTTTACACTTTTTAAACCGAAGTATTTAACGAGATTAGGAAAATGTGAGGAGGACTAAACAATCATGCGAGGGCCAATTGATCGAAAAAGCCATCACAGCATCCAGTACGTGGTGACATGAAAGGCTTAAAGGCATGTCCGGGCAGAAAGTCAATTTTGCGATTTCGTGCTTACCCGGGCCTATTCACTATGCTGATTCCCAAAATCCACATTGGAAAGCGCAAAAACGGCAAAAACGGCTCTAACGCAGGAGGGAAATCGGAAGTGGGCGGGGTCCTCCCCACTGTGAATTTCGCAGTCCCAGCTTCTGGAGCGATCTTTTCAATTCCTCTAGCGCCCTGGGATCTCCACCGGTCAGGTGCGAATGCATGACTTGAAATCGGAACCGGGAAGATTGTTCTGGAAGCTGGGAGCGTGAATTCACAGTGGGGAGGACCCCGCCCACCTGCTGATTTCCCTCCCGTGTTAGAGCAGTTTTTCACCGTTTTCGTGCCCTCCAATGTGGATTTTGGGATTCAGCATAGTGAATAGGCCCGGGTAAGCACAAAATCTCAAAATCGACTTTTTGCCGACACTGCCTTTAAAGGCAGCGGCTCGGCAGATTGACCTACCTCAGATTTTGACACGGATGGATAGGAGGCCCTCCAAGTGAACCAAAACAGCAACTCCGCGCCGAAAATGTGAACTCTGCAAGCCAGGGGGCGGCCCAAGCGCCGCTCCCCTTCCTCCTTTCGCTCCCCTAACACATTGTTCGGACGAATATTCCCCGCCAGACGGCGCGGGACCCCCCAACCGCTTTCCCGCATTGTGCGTGCTACACAAAGCCAAAATTACAGGCAGCAGGGTCTTCGTGTCTTGTCCGAGCTGCCTTTTGAAAATTGAAAAAAACGCCCCGAAAAAGGCCTTTTCACCCCTTTTAAAGCTCAGATTCGGGACCTACGGGTCGAGAAGGTCCAAAACATGCAAAAAGATGGAAATGCAAAATCTGCCGGGACGCTGCCTTCAAGGTGGTGATACTCTGAGATGGAAATAGCCTAGTTTAGGTTCGTAGTCTTCATCTTTATTTAGACTTACAGGTTTGCACATCAAAGGAAGCTCCTTCCCAACATTTTGATAAGATAAACAGAAATGTTGTGCAAGTTTGTTGTGTCCCTTAGAGTAAGCAGAATAATGACCACTAGCACATGGCACCCAACCTAATCTGATATCGAGAAGAATTGAGCTACGCTTAGTATACATACTTGGTTACCTATCACCTTGTTTCTTGTTCGTAAATCATTACTGACTTGGTTTTATCCCAAGTTAAACATTTTTGCTATGTAAGAATACAAAGTGGATTTGATTCGAAAAGCATTTGAAGTGCGATGCACGGCATGGCTACACTTTCTGCACGGGAAGTCCATAGTTTTGAACAAGGAACGCTATTTTCTCTAAGCACTTATTCTCCCATTCTTTTGTGCTTTGTACTTTCCAGTAACCGAAAAACACTACCCTTTCTCAACATATTATGCGAAATGACCCTGAATGTTCGTGCAAATGTGGCTGCAGTGCAGTCTACTCAGCTGCACACTGCAATGACAATATAATTTTGATGCAAAAGCACTAATATGCAGGATGAAAGAAAAACGAGTAAAACCAGATGGATCAGCAGAAGACAGCAGTGATCCCTAAAAATTTTTTTAAGATAAAACGAGACATTTTTCCCGATTTTTCCCAATATCTGAACTAAGCCGTCCCTGCCCCTCTCGTCGGAACGCTACTACAAGGTTCCAGTATCCATCCTTGTACTGTTGTCTTGTAAAGCAAAATGTGTGCCTGTATATCTATCTATTAGTATGCACAATTGTGTGTAATTTCGCGATTTTCCAAAATGGAGTTTTGCAATTTCACAACACAGTTGTTGTGCCAAGCACGCGGGGCGGGGTTTCCGTGAGGCGCGTGCTTGGCACTGTTTTGACCATTCCGGTCTTTCGTCAGCTAAGGACCCTCCCACCCACCCGGAGTTGGGACTGCTGACGTCACGGGCAGAAGCCGCATGATTAGGACTTGGAGATCCTTGCAGGAATGTCAAAAATAGTCGGTGAAAAAGGAAAGCAGCGTTGTCGAGAAGAAATGGGCAAGTCGCGCTGAGCCGCTTTCCAGAAGAGAAGTAATACCGCCAGAGGACTCGAGATAATTCCGAGAAACGCGTGCACGCGTTATGGTATTCTTCAAGGACTTGTACCGCTTTCATCCGGAGGGTTGAGCACTATTCACTCTGTCATTTATGACTAAAGAGTGTAGTCCCTCGAAGGGCTGAATATTTTAGGTTTTAGATAACTGATCCGACTATGGATTGACATCGCGTGGCAAGCGATATACAGACAAGACACAGGATCCCACGATTACCCGCTTTCGACGAGTTGATGCATCTGCGAGATGGGCAAATGGCGGCTTTGCATATGCACTCGTAGATGAAGCTTTTTATGTACTTTGACCATGACGTATAGTCTATCACGCATACTTGTCACCACCGAACGCATTGATATGTTAGCAATTCCCAGACTTCCGGTAATCCCTGTGGTTACTGAAGGAATGATTGTTCGAAATGTTTCCATGGGTTGGGTCGTTATCATAATGTTCTGACTTGTTACTGAATATCTATGTTTGTTGGTTATGCAGTGGCATATGTATCAGTACCATGGCATATGTCGGGATGAGTCCCATCATTGTACGTAAAGCTGACGAATGAACCTTCACCCCCCTTGTGTGCGAAAGTGCAAAACAGAGGTTTTGCCGTAGTTTATCGGAGGCAAAATTGCTTTTTAAACCATCAGCACCGCACTTGCACATATACAGAAAAACTAACATTTTTTGGCCAGAATGATGACGACTTATTTGGTCTTTTTTTACTTCGAGGCAAGTACAGGCCCCGTAAAACCAATTGCCCACGCTTCGCTTTGAACACCAACGCGCGGCGCGGCTGGAAACGTTTGGTCCCGAAGCGCTACAGGCTTTCTTCGAGCGACAATGAGCGCGCGTCCTTTCCACACATATTTTTCTGAACTTTTGAGGAGAGGGGGGCTTTCGTCGAGATATACCTTGCATTGACGATAACAACATGAAAGTTGAAGAAAGATTTTTTGGAATATAGTGAACGCCGACAGTCTTTCGCGACGACCGCTCGCTTACGCTGGTGTTCAAGGCACGGCGCGGGCAATTAGGTTTTACGGCGCCTATAGTTGGATTTGATTTACGGGGACGATAGAAAACACCTGAAGATCCAAAGTGGGCACCCTTTTCAAATATTCTCTATCGTGTACTAAACAGGTTCTATACAACTCACAGTTGTAGAACCCATTGAAATGAGCGCAAATAGCAGCTTGTGAGAGCCGTTTACTAAACCAGTTCTTGAAACCCCTCAGACTCCACAGCCACCCCAACCCACCATTGAGTGTGCAGGGATTGGTTGGCTGAGGGCAAGGTCAAACTTTGCTAATGGTCATAGGGGATGGAGCCTAACTACAAAGTACACCCTCTAATCATGAATATAGGGCTTCATCAAATCGCGGTGGTCGCACTGACCGCTGAGCTTGCTCACGCAATGCTACAAGGCCTCAAACCATTGTATGAATCTCGCACTTTTCAAATTCAGGTAATATAAAAGTAACATCGATAAAGGGAAAGCGTTTGGCAGGGGAAAAAACTGACAAATCTCATTGCGTGAATAGTTGCCACAAACTCACCGACTTTCATCAGGCAAACCCCTTTATGTGTATATGTGTTCTTATAATAAATTATAAAAGAATTTGACAGAAAAAAGAAAGGGGCACATCGAGGTTAGTTGCAAGGATGTCTAATCATGAGCAGTGGTAGCAGTTGGCAAAAACTATATGAAAGTGAAGCATCAGGATAACAAAAACAAGCTACAAAAATGTCTTTCCTAAAGACGTAGTAGAAGCAAACCTATCTTAGCGCCCTCTTCCACGTGGTCCACCTCTCCCACGAGGTCCCCCTCGGCCTCTTCCACGGGGGCCACCACGTCCCCTACCACGGGCACCAGCACGAGCTCTTGCAGCTTTCTTGCGGGGCTCGTCGTCGATGAGCATTGTGTCGAGAGGTAGCGAATCCGGCAGAATTATGTACCTAATGTTGTTGCCTGGAAATGCAGCATAATGAAAAAAAAACTTTTACCCATTTAACATCTTAACATTTTAGCCATCTGAGATATTTTCAGTTGACGCGAAATATTACACTTTGTTTCGAACATGGGAATTTGAGAGACGTATACGGTATATTTACATTTACCTATACTGGAAATAGAGCTGTAATTTCTCCGATGACCCAAAACTACTGAATCTAACATGGGATACGAAATTCTACAGATACTATACTTAGGAAAAAACCGTCGCTTCGCAAAGTAATCGTTGGAAACAATCGCAAAGTAATCGTTGGAAACAACATCCCATGTATTTTTTATAGCGCATAAATAAAAGCATAGCAAGCTCCGGCGCAGAACGAGAACTCAATCAGTTTTCAAGGTGATCTGCAAGACATGTTATAGACAGTACAAAACGCAAGAGAATTCGCTATAGGATCACTCAACCAGGTAGTTTGATGTGCAAAAAAATGAAGACTGTAGGTATTGACAAAGTATTCTGTGCCAAACAGGTTTGTTAGGTGATCTTTATAATCCAATCGAGGCCTAACGTTTCGACGCCTTCGTCTTCCTCAGAGGCCTGAAAATGGCTCAAAGTGTCATCTGTAGCTCCACGCCATCAAACACCCTTCCTAATCCTGCTAGTTCTCGACTTTCGCCTGACTTCCCTATTGCAAACTGTAGGTATTTTCCAACCTTAGCCAACTGATAATGTTGTTGTGGTCGTGTGGTCGACACCAGCAACAAAGCTCCTCACGCTCATTTGACTTTTAAGCGGTCGTCAAACGCCCGTACGGCTTTTGTCAATTATATACACTCCTCAAGAAGTTACAGAATGCCCTTGCTAACTGGTTGTATAGGTATTACATGTATATATAAGTGCAAATTACGAAGCATATATCTGATAATCAATTCTTTTTCCCACAATATTTATGTACCGATATTAAAAATGTGTTGCATTCGCAACTCTGATTTGTCTCGAGCTTAGGACCGGGCAAGTATCACGCGATTTCATCGTCCCGGCTGTAAGCTCGAGACAGAGTCGGGTTTCGAGCAAGACTACCTTTTTTCTTGCAGTTTTCATTTTGTGAGTGGACTATTGCGGGACTTAATCAGGAAAGTCTGAGATGAATGCAGCATAGAACGCAGATCCGGACCTACTTTTTTCTGGTCTCCTATACGCCAATGTAGACAAATCTATAGGCCAATACAACAAAGAATGCTCTCATGCAAAGTGCAAATTTGGATATGCAGACCCAGCTTGATCTTGGGCCATACCTACTGCACGTAAAATGCTTCATATAGTTTTTGCCTAGAAGTGAGCTGAAAAGGCATCCATGTGTCTGACTCTGCAATTCGTATGTACTATTTTCTTGCAGGAAACTGCTATCTCTTCGTCCACAAAGGTGTTCAACATATGGAAGGCTGATCTGGATTCAGCGTTTTATGCTGCAACCGAAGGTATAGAGCTCCCTAGCAACGGCCTCTTCGACCCTTAACCATTCCCAAACTCAACACTTACCTCTGATGGAAAGAGAGTCAAGATTAATGGGATCCTTGTTTTTCAACGACATCTTCACGGAACGAAGATGCATGTTCATAGCAACGTCCACACCAATGATGCCGCCTTGCACCAAGGTTCCATTTTTCAGCTCGATAGTCACCGACTCGTGGATCAATTTCATCAAGAAACGTACCAACTTCATCTCTGAAACAGTATTATATGAAGCAGCATTAGATATAACACACTGGCAGGAAAAGCAAACGTTTTAATCGTTCCCAAGCACAAGATGAAGCTTAACACAAATTCGTTGTTCGAGAAGTGCGCTCCCCTTCATTGGCAGCGCGCCAAATAGATTCGAAATCATGCCTGATTCAGGCTCGTCGCGCTGGGATGACTCGTCCGCGCGTTACGAAAATGATTCATCATTCACTCGCTTGGAAGTTTCTCGAAGTGTGCGCTTTCTTTCTCCTTTTCAGCATATCCTTGGAATCGCAGCATCATGTCTTTTACATCAGAACTGTGCGATTTGTAAGAGTTGAATTTCGATTTTGAGAATCATTCGATCGAATTAGGAGACAGATGGCTAGAAGCTATGATGGAAGCTAGTTGGGTGTTTAGATCACCCATTTCATTTCTTTTGCGTATTTGCACATTTATGACGGATCTCTTGAAGGCGTTAAAGGCTTCTATCGTAGTGCAAATTTCTCGAACGTCTTCGTTGTGCCTTTTTGTTCGAAAGCCATCGAAAAGTCCCCCACTGCTCCACTCTTATTTCTTGTTTTCATTCCGTCAATCAGAAGAAGCTGCGACTTCACTAGAATTGTTCTGATAGCTTGATTCTTGTTGTCGTGAATCAAATTCAGTAACAAGACTCGCTCTTTTTACTAGGAACCTGTAACTTATAGCTGCAGTCTCCACATGAGAACGCTCTGTTAATAACTCAGAAGTTCCACCCTTCACGGAGAACATATATCAGCTGTTTTTGAGACTAGAAGACTCGAGAGCGCTTTGCGTACAGTGTCTGAACAAGTTCGAACCTGTTCTTTCCTGTTTTCCGGTAGTAAGTAATCCTGAGTTAGATCACAAGTGTAAACTTGTTAACCGCAAGATCAAACTTGTTTAAGCGTGCAAAGCGTACTCGTTCACATTCAAAAATATCGGAAAGTGGACGAGTTCCTCGGTCGGCATTGAGCGCGCTGCCGACGCTCGCGCTCGTCATGCAAATCTCGCTATTCCCATCGTGGTCGCCGGGTGACGTGGGAGTTGGTTTTTATCTCATGTGCCTCTGAGCTTTTGGACTGAATTGAGCCTGGTTCACCATTGCGTTCGAATGGTTATATCACCTGAAGCTGTGTTCGTTTGAGGCAAGCTCTTTTTTTGTACTCAACGTGATTTTTCAGTGTAGCGGGGATGGCGCGTGTTTATCTGGGGAGACTCCCTTTCCGTGCGCGTGAAAGCGATATCGAGAGGTAAGTAAAGGACTGTATATGGTTTTGTATATGCTTTTGCTGCATATGGTTTTTATGAATAAACAATTTTTCAGGTTTTTCCAAGGATATGGAAGAATTACTGACATTGCGATGAAGCGAGGATTTGCCTTTATCGAATTTGAAAGCAAAAGAGATGCCGAAGATGCGGTAGATGAACTCAATGGCCGTTCGATTTTGGGAGATAGGTAAGGCCTTAATGCTGTTTGACTTAGAGGAATCCAAGCCCAAATACTCAAAACTAACGAAATCAAACTCAGACCAAAGAGATAGTGATCTCTATGATGTGTTATGAGAAAGTTGCAATTATCACTGTGATTATGTAGCCAAAATAAGTCTCCCTCCAGTCTGCTCACTACCACCTTTTTTCACTCAGTCATATGGTTATAATTTACAATCCCTTTCCTTATTCCAAGCAGAGCCTCTGCTATTTCATAGGAATGTGGGAAGCAAAACCGCCACTGATCGCTGCATCGTTGATTGTCATCATTTCTCAATGGTTGTGTATACCATGGCACATCAGTCCGCGGAGGCGGCGCCTCATGCAATACAGATTCTCTACCCTTGCCAAATTCTAATTTTGAATTGAGATTCGTTTATTTAAAACGCGGCTGGAGGAGCGACAGTCATTGAGATCCTAAAGGCAGCGTGCCGGCAAAATAATGAGTACTGAATTTCTCAGCATTGCAACGGCGGGCTCAACGAAGTGTGGAGCGAAAAATCGCGTCTGGAAACCTAAAATCTATTCCCAAAGTCTTGATCTATCCCCGTCGTCTCGGGCTCCGCCTACTCACCCGTATTCCTAGTGCAGACATGGAGAGCTTCGAATAAAGCGCATTTTTGCCATTTCATGCGCTGCATCAGATATGGATTCAGCACCGCGAGAAGGCTCCAAAAAGGTTGAAAAAAAAAAACAAGCTCCAGCTATATCGCACGTAAAGATAGTCTTGTGGTTTTGCGGAAAAGAGCCCTTGATTTAGTGATCATTTCTCGTTCCATTTTAGAGGAAGAGCATTAAGGGCCAGGCATACAACACGCGATTTTTTCAACAGACAACTATTACGAGTTTATTGCATGTCGATCGTTTTGCATTTTGGTTGTGTTAGTCTTCTGGCATGAGCAGTCGCGGCTAACTATCACAATCGAAATACAAGTCGATCGGCATGCAGTAGACTCGCAACAGTTGCCTGCAGTGGACTCGCGTTGTCTTGGGGAATCGCGAGGAGATGAAATCGCGTGATGTATGCCCGGACTTTTATGCTACAGCGCTCGTCTGTCAATGTCGCGATGTTGCACTTCTGCAAATTTCAAGTAACTCAGAAAAGACTTAGTAAGATTGCGCATATGCGGTTTGCACCTGATAAAATGACTTCTTGAACGTCACTCAAGTAATTTCATTTCAATGTCTTTTCATGTTTCTTGATTTATTCACAAAAGGGAGCGCAGTGAGCGCAAGTGAATTCAAAATTTTTATTTGAAATATTTTACAACATTCAAAACAGGTCATGAGTAGCGGTTAATGCGATTACAACGGAGAACTTTGCCGTGACATATGACTACCGAAAAAATAAACATGGAAACATATGCGCCTACGCAACGGACTAAGTTTCTGAGTTTTTTTTTTCTTCTAATTTTCTTTCTAAAAATCGCGAAAGTGACAATTGCGACGTCGCAACGCAGCGAATACGAGAGTTTTGTAATGGACTATTCTGCGACATTTTCTACTCCCAAACTTGGGCGAAACACTGTGAACGCAATAATTAATTTCCAGGGTGCTTGTCGAGATTGCTAAAGGTCGCCCACATGGAAGCGACGTCTATCGTTATCGATCTCGCTCGCGTTCTCGCGACCGTAGGCGCCGTAGCCGTTCCCGTTCTCGTAGCCGTGATCGCAGCAGGCGCAGCAGCAGCAGAAGGTACGTTTAAAATCAGCATTCTTGTTATTCAGGTAATTTATGTTTAATTAACATTCTTACGTTACAGGAGGGGACGCAGCCGCTCCCGCAGTCGCAGTGCCTCGCCGAAGAGATCTCGCGGGCGACGTGACTCGAGCCGTTCGAGCCGTAGCAGGTCCCCTGTCAAGAAGAGCCGTTCCAGACGCAGTCGCTCTCCAAAGCGCGACAAGCGTTCTCGCAACAGCTCGCCAGAAAAGACATCGAGCAGAAGTCCTACTCCTAAAAAGGAAAGAAGCGCGAGCAGGTCTGCCTCCCCTGAGCCAAAGCGAGCGGAATCACCATCAGAAAGAAAGAGTCGCAGTGCTACTCCGAAAGACGAAAAGAGGGATTCCTCGCTCAGTCCATCTCCTAAAAAGGCAAGACGAACTCGCAGCTCTTCCCGAGAAAGCCCTGACCGCAGTTTCTCTCCACGTCGCGACAAGTCCAGAAGTGCCAGCCCAGCGGGAGAAAAGGTAAGTAGCCATTTTTGTCATTCTCACCTTGTTAAGCTTGGTTTCAGAACGGAAGGAGCAAATCTTCGGATAATGGGGATCGCTCAAGATCTCGCTCGCGCAGTCGCGATCGTGATAGAAGTGGGTCGGATCGCAGTCGAAGCAGAACTCCTGAGACAAATGGAAAACGTAGAAGATCGTCAAGTGATCGCAGTGGATCTGACCGCGATTGATGGAAAAGTGAGTATTGTGGTTGCTTTACGTCCACATACGGTCGAGAATTCAGAAAATGTTAATGTTTGTTCAAATTTCTTAACCCGAGTTCTCGACTAATTGTTCTGCAATATGCCCAGTAGCGTGTTGTGTTATGATGTGGTTATGAAGAATCTTCGGAGACTTCGTACTACAATGTCATTTCTTGTTAATCATGTAATATATATGTATTGTCATTTATTTGCATTTTTCAGTCTACCATTTTGTTGCAAAGTAGCGTGTAAGTGTTCTGCTGATTATTATTATATATAAATGTGTTGAAGAAATATCCACGCTCTTTAATAGCATTATTTGAGGACGAGGTCAACGATCTCACAACGATCCGCGTCCCCGCCCCAAGTTCAATCGTTCCGTGGTACAATGGTTTCAATCGTTCAGTCCACAATCACCACAACCACTCCCTACGCGTTCGTCTTCTTTACAATCCACTAGGGAAAATCACTTGCATGCAAGGAATACGGTTGTTTGACATCAGTCGTATAGCAGAAGTTTATGTCATTTCGGGGCTTTTGCTTAAATCAAAAACGCTCGATCCCAGCTTACAGTGATCTGTACGTCGCACAATTCCATTTTGGCCAACACCACTTTGCAAAATCAAACGCTCAAGGCTTCATTCAATTGCTTCAGGTCGCTTCAGGTTTTTGGAGGTACAATTTTCCAGTGTTTTTTACATCGTTTTTAGCGATAAATTGCAGTGTTTCCACAGCAAAACTATCAGTTGGTCAGTTATCCACGTTTCAGTTTCGACTTTGTCTAAATATGGTAAGCTACTAATCATTTTTAAACATTTGCTTGCGCCGCTTAAATGCAAGTAATTGCTTTTTACTGACACTTTGACCAAAGAGGATAGAATTTTGAATGTTGCGGGTGTGCAACAGCCCTCCTCTTTGGGGGAATTTACGCAAATATCGAACGCAGGCTGAACCAATGGAAGCCTTGCTGAAAATACGAAAGCGAACAAAACGGTACGAGAAGAAAATTTATCTCTTTCTTTTTAGTAATGAATAAAGTTTTCTATTCTTGTTGCTAACAGTCGTCATAGTTTTTGGAAGCCGTTTTGATCTTCACGCAGTATTTGTGTTATACACGTAACGCTGACATAGAACGTCCATCTATTGCTGTCGCTTTGAGCACAATGTGGTGCGATAAAGTTTGACAAAAGGCATGGTGCACATCAAATAGTAATTTGATCAGATCTGTCTTGAATCAGCTGTTCAACATGAGAATCGCATTGGATTATGGTGCTGTGTACCTACAGTATCTAGTTGATGGAGCGATTATACTTCTTTAGTTGCAGGATCTGATCTGCTTTTCTCGTGATCTAACTGTCAGAGTTTTCAGAACTTTTCAGTGAAGTGTTCGGTCAATATAATGCTATCGCAAGATCAATTCCAGCTGCACGGATCAGCTGACATTTCACTTTTTTTGCGCTATGTTTGAGGTTCCTGCTTTTGTTTCCTCATTTCTAAATTACTCGTCACATAGTTTCTGCTAACAACTTGTTGTTGGTGCTTGTTGAGCGACAAGCTGTAGACCTCGAAAATCCACATTATGTTTGAAAGTAGAAGTGCTGACATCTATCAGCTTCAACAGCAGGGAACTCGTCAACCCGTCTTCCATGATCAGGCTTGCGCAGATAAATGTCACATAACATCTTTCTACTACAATCCGATTAGTTCAAGCAAATTGTCTATTCTTGTCACTTCGAATGTTAGTCAACCAAAGATAAGCACTTCGAAAACACGCATAACGCGTTTCACTGTTGCGAGACTAGATGACACTGATGTACTTGTGGAATCTTCATCTTGGAGCATATAGTGTTCGCACTCCCTCCCTATCGAGGCCAAGCATTGAACTGTTGCGTCTCCGCCTTCTGGAGGAGATCTTACATAATTTTAATGCTTTTTTTGAGTTAGGCCTGTATGAATGAATAAGGGGGCGGCGACATAGTTGTGAATTGAGCGCGAGCGAACACTGATGCGAATCTTATATGAATAGGGCTGCACCCCTCCCCCACGGTTAGGGATTTTCACCATACGGGCGGGCTGATCGGCACCGCAGATAATCACTTTCTTGGCTTGGAATTTTTGACGCTGTGTTGAGTCGTACATAGCATCCAAGAGGAGTAGGGGATACGTCGACCATAGGCTCCACTAAGCGCAGGCAGGTGGTACAAATCTGCATGCCTTTGAAGTATGGGGTTGCGCACTTTCTCGGAGATGTCCGCATCGGACCATCCCTTTAAGCGACAAGCTCTACCACATCCGGGAGCATTCGGAGACAACTGTAGATTACCACATCACATTTGAGGCAAATTATGGCAGTTTTTTTAAACTTTTTTTGAAATTTTTATGAATCTGAAATTTTTTATTTTACCTCTTGCAATTATTTGATGACCAATGGGTCACCTCTTCTTCGCAGTTTTGCACCGTTTCATCGTGCTCGCCAATCACGGCTTCAAAACTCAACCTCAATGTTGACCATCAAGGATCAATTGTAAACATCTATCTAATCCCAAAGCTCCTTCAGTTATTACCTTTGAGAGGAGGAAATGTTTTTAGCAAAAAGATAAATGCAAGTTTGAGTCGGTCAATTGAATTTAACGGCTTGGTTGTGGTCTTAAAGGCACCGTCCACTTTGAATTAGAGGTCTTGAGCTTTTGACATATGATAGGAGGGCCTTCTATCAAGCCAAACTCCAAGTCGCGGCTCGAACTGTCGCTTCGAAAGCGAGAAATTCGCTCCGGAATAATGAAGAAGCACGAGGATCCCAAATCGGCCACCCCTTCCCGCTAATGCTCGCCCATCCTTGCTTGCCAATCATCGTTCATGAAAACCCGCGGGTTCTCCTAAACGGGCATCGTGGGGGTTTTCGCTGATTCTCGTCTCCATATTCGGAGTTAGGGAAATGAGAAGGGAAACGACTAAAACGTGGAGGTTGAGAATTTGGGTGGACGGTGCCTTTGAAGGACAATAGAACCCTAGCTACACTTTGGTTGGAGGTCTTCTCAGATTTTCAAGTAGAACCTTGACGAAACGATTAGCACGATCCTTATCGTTCCTTATGGCAACGTTTTCGCTAGAAGTATCGTGCATCCTCCAGGATTTTTCAATATGAGACATCAATGTGGCTGCCTTTCGGTCGACGTTAATGGTTCATATGGAAACAATTCTGGGGGTGTACTACCTTAGGTTCTTGACAATTTTTTTGGGCTAGACCCCTCACCTTGCATGTTTGCTTTCAAACTCGTCGCTCTGCAAAGAGTTAAATCACGTCTCACTTTTGCGGTTTAAATGCTGTGTGGATCCATGTGATGCAAAGTGAAGGATCTGTGCCTCGAACCGGTTTGTCTTTGAGCTTGTGGACCTACGTGCCGGTACTGTATCTGAAGCTTGTGATGGCTTGCGACGCTGGCTCCACTCTGTAAACATCAAGATAGACAGATGTGTACACACCCGCACACACGAACTAAAGGACAGACGGCCTCAGAGCTTCATCACTAAGTAGTGGTTCTCACAGCAAAATCTTGTTGCTCTCCCAACTCAAAAAAAGTTCGCAACTTATCTTGGATGTTGTGCGCCTCCCCGTTCCCACCGGTGTGCTTCAGATGAGCAATAGAACCGGACATCTGCTTCGTTAACGTACAACTTACTCTGATAGATATTCTGTTAGGATCATAGACGTTTCGATGACGCCTCGATAATAATGATTATGCGCAGTGGTCACCGCATGTAGGACATTCGCAAAACATGGTGAAGAAAACCTGTGAGTGCAGAATGTTTGTATAAACAATTCACAACTAGTTTGGAGCACATTGTGCGATTCGTTGGATACATGGTTCTTCAGTCCAAGCTATTGCGATTGATGGAGGGAGACACGCACGTGGTTCACGAATATGATATTCTTTCGACAAGCACTGAGTACACTACTATATTACAGCAAGTCACGAATCTCCTCTTGAATATCCTGCACGAATAGTAGTACTGCGGTGAGACAACCAGACATTACTAATCATTTTTATAAAGATTTGTACACATAAATCGAGAAACTTACAATTTGAGATTGATACAAAAAATGTGAGATCTGTTACAGATGAAAATGCTCACAATCCACCCTAAACTCGAACCGAAAGTACGAAGGTATGATAAGACACATTCAGAAATCGGCATCGAGCTGGAAGTTACGCTCTTCCTCTGTCGACAAAACTCCCGGCCGCTGATACTCGGAGACCTAACAGTCATATTAGTGATCGAATGAACAATGCTTCGCTTTTGGCATACCTTCTTCTCGAAGAAGTTCGTCTTCCCATCAATCGAAATATTCTCCATAAAATCAAAAGGATTTTTCGACTTGTAGAGCTGGAAGCGTCACATATATAGACATATAATGTCACATAAGAAAATTCTGCAGTGTCAGACCTTTTCACAACCCAATTCAACAAGCAAGTGGTCCGCAACGTATTCGATGTACTGCGACATAAGCCTACAGTTCATCCCAATCATATCCACAGGAAGAGATTCAGTCAAGTACTCCTAAAAAGACACATTTTCAACTGATGAATTAGTCCTAATGCTACATGCGTTTTCGAAAATAGTAAAAAAAAGGATAATGCTCAAGATGCCCACCTGTTCTATAGAAACCGCCTCTCTGATGATGTAGTGTATACGCTCTTGCGATAATTTATTTTTGATGTGCTTGTACATAAGACACGCGAAGTCGCGATGAAGTCCTTCATCCCTATAAAAAGTTCTAAGTAGTCTTTGTCAAACCATATACACTAGATGCACGCTCGCAAACTGTACATACGATACACTATGTAAACATATTGGCCTGCTGTTACTCACCTAGAGATTAGTTCGTTAGAGTGAGTCAATCCTGGCATCAATCCACGCTTTTTCAACCAAAAGATAGCGGCAAACGAGCCAGAGAAGAATATTCCTAAAAATGATTTGATGAAGCGCGTGATGTAATAGTGCAAATTTCTCACCTTCCACTGCTGCAAATGCGATCACTCGTTCCGCGAAACTTGCTTCCTTATCTCCAATCCATTTCAGAGCCCAGTCAGCCTTCTTCTTGATGCACGGGAATTCGAAAATAGCATTAAAAAGCGAACTCCTGAAGGAGCAGACTGTCATACCATTTAACAATTTGCTCACAATCATACCTCTCCTGCTCATCTCGGATATATGTTTCAATAAGTTTACTGTACATTTCGGAGTGAATATTTTCGATAGCAATCTGGAAGCCATAGAAAAAGCGAGCCTCAGGAACTTGGACTTCTTGCGAGAATCGTTCCACCTTAAAAAATATTTGCTATTGATAAAATGCGATTGGAACAAAGTCATACTTACCAAGTTCTCGTTCACAATACCATCCGATGCAGCAAAGAATGCCAAGACACGAGAAATGAAAAAACGTTCTCCATCATTCATTCTCTCCCAGTCGGCCATGTCTTTGCCCAAGTCCACCTTAATCACAACAAATGCTAGAGCAACTTTTTACGGTGTATGCTAAATACCTCTTCTACGGTCCAAAACGACGCCACAGCTTTCTTGTAAAAGGCCCAAATATCATGGTAAGTCAGCGGAAAAACGACGAAACGATGAGGATTTTCTTTCAAAAGGGGTTCTTCTTGTTCCCGTGATGAGAGCGAAATCTTGAGAAATATAATAGCATGAAGACGCACACTACCCGGCTAAAAATAAACGACTCACCTTTTCCATATCCTGGGTTATATTTTGTTTTTCTTGTATATCATGCTGCAACAAAAGCAATGAATTAAAGCCTTACTATTTTCTGACTTTAACCTACCTTGTTCTCCTTGTTAGCAACTTCAGCGTTAGTTTGAATTACTCCAAGAGGCATAATTTGTTAGTATATTGTAACAAATATCTGCAAGTATGAATATGACTCTTACGACCTGGAAAAAAGAGGGCAACAAAACAGGATGAAGACGTACGCACTGCCGAGCAAGTACACAAATGGGCGGAGTGAGCCCCGTCATATTACGAAATTCCCCGCACAAAATTTTGAATCTGGCGCCCGAATGACGCCCGTACGCCTCGACGACGTGGATAGGAGAAGGGGCTTATCAGTTCGATTGCCATGAAAGAAAAAAGAGGAATATTTTTACGGGTTTGATGCAACAGAAACAACTATATATATTTATGTATAACATTGTATTACAGACGCAACAGTAAAAGAATTCTTTAGCTATGATGGTCATGGAGTAGAGAAATAATTACATCAAGCCGTTTCTTTTTCCTCGTGGCACTCCTTCCAGTAAGGACAAATAGCCCTCAAGAAACCACAGATCTGACGCTCGTCTCTGTGCAGAGCTTATTGACTACGACGTGCAAGCACCCATGACCATTTCTTCCATTGTTGTACTGCTATGTTGATGTCGCTGTCTGGAGATGACGAATTTCTACGCCATCTTCTGCCACAATGCATACATATGGCATTGAATTGAAAACCGAAAATTCCCAGTAACTGGTGCTCATCTGATTGGATCCAGTAATGTCTTGGATTTTGTGACACTGATAAAATGCCAATCGTAACAACAAGATCTTCCCTATGTAGACACTGTTCAGGATAAACCATACTAAACAAGCATAGAATCATCACTTCACAATAGTCAGGCAGCTTGCTTAGCTGGTGTGCCTTACTGATCGATGATGAGAGTGGAAATGCGCAAAACAAATATGGGTGCACAATAATTTCCGCCAACTCTTGCCTCATGATTGAAGACTCCATCGTAAACCTTTACCCAATGTCGACCATTATACAATGGCGCGCTTCTGCAATCTAGCAGTACTTCGTTATTCACTTGCACCCAAAAATGCACAAAGGAGTTTCATTCGTTATAAGATGGAGTTGTTGCTTGTTGCATTCGTTTGCATCAGGGAGCACAAGACTTCTAGACTTCGAAACCACCTACAGTCCATCACTCGAATGTACCATTAGGCCGGTAAGAAAGTTCTCGGACATTTTCACGCTAAAATTGCTATTCCTCATGCTGTAATGCGTATACGAATGCTGTAATGCGTATACGAACGCGAAAATTTGTAGTTGTACTCTCGCACTACGTTGCTTATACCTGCGCAGGTTGGAGGTGAGTAGGGCCAATAGGGGCGGAGTTTGCCAGTTCTCGATTACCTCATTTTTTCTGATAATCAAGTTCGAATTCCATTCAAACTTTGCATATATGTATATGAATACATGTCTACCACGTATTCGAGTATTTGTGTGTGTCGCAGCGTTCAAGGAAAGTGGATATCTAAGTTCTGCTGAAATCCTATGTCTTCGCATTTCCGCCTCTGTTTCCACAAAATTCGTTGATTATGCTCGTGATTAGTATGGCCTTGTAGTGTTTGCTTTCCTCTATTCAATGATGTGATGCATGCCTTATTTGGTGCTCACATCGAAGCAAAATCTTTGTCTAGAGTCAATGTCCGATAACTTTTTTACCAACCTAATAGTTATATGAATCCGTCACTCTTCTTGAAGTTCAGTGAAATCAAAGGGTGTGAATGAAGACTCATAACAGTATCTATTACTTTCCACACCATGCTGGGCGGCAGTTTCTCAAGGAGCGAGACCAAGTTTTTTACTTGTGTCACGCACATTTTAGGAAAATTATTGTATGACGACGAGTATTCCAAAATTATACGTCTTGTATAGGGTCTAGTAAACGCAATTTTAAAAGAACGACTCTACCACACAATTCCAGCCGTAATTCAGTAAAGTTTATCAATGCATGCAATTTAGAATAAAGTGATACGAATAGTAAGAATATCAGTAAACAATGAAAAATCAATAAGTAAAAACCTGGAAAAAAAAGCTGTTTGTATGTCCCACTGTTATTTGGAAAATAAAGAAACGCAAGAGAGCAGCTGGAGATTTCAGGTGACCTGTATGCAAAGAGGCGTCGATGTACATTCTAGAATGCCGCATCCAAATGGAACTGACGTTCTTCTTCACTTGCCATAACACCAGGACGTTGATATTCGGAGACCTTGAAGTTTTTTTTTTCAAAAGTCTGTATTAGAGTAGGTTAATAGGTCGACAGAACTCATAGTGCCCGTCCCTACTCTGGCTTGGAGACAGTCGTAAGGGGCGGAATTTCCGAGCTGTTACTAAGAAAAACTCCTTCAACCTGCCGCAAACACCATTCGAAACTGCCTGCCGAATTTTACGGCTTAACGAAGGAAAATACTGACGAAATGGCTTCTATGTTCATCTTTGAGATTCTGAGTTGCTGTCTTCATGCAGTTTGGGCTAATTTTGTTTCTTGCAACCTTCAATCTCTGCACAAATGTCTGCTATACCTGCTTCTGCAGCCAAGACCTTCTAAGCCTTTGAACGCCGATCCGACAATGACGATCCGCGTCATAGGCCTCGCGCAGAGTACACGCCATTTCATCGCTCGATTCTTCCAACAAGGCAAAAAACAGTTACAAGCCCATTGCATTCCATCTTGCATTTCGGTTGTGATAGTTCTCCAACACGACCAATCGTGACTATTACAACTGAAATGTAAGATGATCAGCATGCAATGAACCTGTAACTGTTTGTCTTGTTGGGGGAATCGCGACGTGAAATCGCGTGAACTCCGTCCCAGGGCTTACGATGTCTTAGCATGCACGTGCTGTTGAGTTCAGCTGAACGAAAGGCAATGTGGCACAGAATAGGCATTTCATAAGTTTTTATCAACATATGGCATCGTTTAGACCACGCCGGTACCCATCCAAATGCGCCCGAATCCGTGCGAATACGCCCGAAACCGTTCAAATACGTCCGAATCCAAATCTGCCTGAGACGCCGGAACTGCCAAAGCGCAGGAGATATGAGTGTAAATTCGCATATTGGAGCACGCGTGGAATACTGCGCGTGGTGCATATATCTTACAAGGGAAGCTTGTTTAGTCGAAGTGGCCTTTGCATAAAACGCTGACTCCAAATCTGCCTTCCTTATCTGCAGAGCGTTTATGCTCGAGAAGTTATAAGCGTTTTTTGAAGCCAAAAATTGAACGTGCATTTTGGATAAAATGAGTTGTTAAAATCTTACTAGCCCTCAAATAATGCAACTAATGTGATATCTTTTTTTATTTAAGAGTAATTTTATAATAAAGTGCTCTGATGATTATCAATGCTCCATTATTTAGATAGCTAGAAAAAGTATTACGGCTGTTTTTGTCCTACTTGCGCATTTGATTTTTTGCCCCTATAAGCGCTCATGACTCCTCGTCCATAAACGCTCTGCAGATAAGGAAGGCAGATTTGGAATCAGCAATTTATGTCCTTCAAAGGCAGCGTCCAGGCAGATCTGGACCTATGGGGCTTTTACGTGGAAAGCACTTTTGGGGCCCTAACTAAGGCACTGCCCAAGCGGCAGCTCAGGTAGTGCTCTAATGGCTGAGATATTTCCTCGAAGCTGACCTCGCATGGATTTATGGCAGTTTCGCGCCAGGATCCACGCTTTGCGCCATGAAACCATGCGAAACACGGTCGCGGGATCCAGTTTCGAGGGGAATATCTCAGGCATTAGGGCACTACCTGAGCGCCGTTGGGCAGTGGCTTAGTTAGGGCCTCAAAAGTACTTTCCACGTAAAATCCCCATAGGTCCAGACTTGTCTGGACACTGCCTTTAATATGGTATACGTCCCATCTAAAAGGGCCACTTTGACTAAACGTGCATTCCTTGTTAGTCACATGTAGGACGTTACATAACGATTTTCATTTGCAACTGCTCGGATATCACAAGGATCAATCAACCTCGCGTCTGTCCTAGTATTTCGTCTCATGTTGACGCACTTTAGGTAAGTTTCATTCCAATTTGCACGCATAACTCCTACTTTAGGGATCGTTCTTACTGCGCACAAAGGCGGACGAAGGCGGACGAAGCCGGACAAAGGCGGACGTAGCCGCACAAAGGCGGACGCAGGCATATGTGAGTGTGTGTGTCGAGAGAAACGAGACGAGACAAGACGCGCCTTCGTCCGCCTTTGTCCGGCTTCGTACGCCTTCGCCCGGCTTCGTCCGCCTTTGTGCGCGGTATGAACGATCCCTTAACAGTTCCGACATCTCAGGCGCATTCGGACGGCTTCGGGCGGAAACGGACGGAATCGAGCGTACTCGGACGGATTCGGGTGTATTTAGAAATTAGGGCGGATTGTGCATTGGGACGAATTCGGGCGGGTTTAGATGCGGTGCGGGAGCGTCCGAACGATGCCTATACGTGATAATTTATTCGCGCGCAAGTGCAGTCGCATGGGCACTATACGAACCGTCAGTCCTACTAGCCTATACATTACTCACCTTCTTCTCGAAAAAATTCGTCTTACCGTCAATTGATATGTTTTCCATGAAATCAAATGGATTTTTCGACTTGTACAGCTAAAATAACTAGCATCCGTACTAAGTCACACATTCCGCACATACCTTAGAATATCCCAACTCAACAAGAAGATGATCGGCAACATATTCAACGTACTGCGACTGGAGACGCCAGTTCATTCCAATCAGATCAACAGGAATTGATTCTCTCAAGAATTCCTGAAAATTTGAATAATAAAGTATTCTATAGAAAACAATAACCTTGTAAAACGCTCTAGCAAGGGACTTTCGCACATTTGAGCGAGTTTATAAATAACTGCAAAAACCGCTGATGCAAAAGCAACACAAGAGCTGGAGAGTTTCTTGAATATTCACCTGCTCCACAGACACAGCGTCTTTGATCATTGCATGCACACGATCTTGTGGTAATCTGTTCTTGATGTGAGAGTAGAGCAAACATGCAAAATCACGATGGAGGCCTTCATCTCTGCAAAATGGCTAATATGCCATCGAGTAACAGTATGAATGGAACGACCTTGAAATAAGCTCATTTGAATGAGTAAGTCCTGGCATAAGACCACGCTTTTTCAGCCAAAAAATTGCAGCAAATGATGCTTGGAAGAAAACACCTCAAAGCTTCTGTTTTACATTGAACAACAACATTGTAAGCTTGCCTTCTACCGCTGCAAATGCGATCAAGCGCTGTGCGAAACATGCATCTGGACTGGCAATCCATCTCAACGCCCACTCCGCCTTCTTTTTTATGCTAGGAAAAACGAAGATCGCGTCGAAATGCTTATTTCTGAAGTAAAATATTACCAGGTGCAAAATTATGATGAGCGACATCACCTTTCAGTCTCATCCCTGATGTAAGTCTCGATCAATTTACTGTACATCTCTGAATGGATGCTCTCAATTGCTATCTGAAATCCATAGAAGAAGCGAGCCTCCGGAATTTGCACTTCTTGCGAAAAGCGCTTCATCTGGAACAACAAAAACATGAAAAACCAATGTGAACTGGAGGACTTACCAAATTTTCATTGACAATACCATCAGAGGCAGCGAAAAACGCTAAGACTCGAGAAATGAAGAAGCGTTCATCGTCATTCATTTTCTCCCAATCAGGCATATCCTTACCGAGATCAACCTTTGTGAAAAATGTATTATGTAGCTGCTTGTAAAGCAGTGCTTTCTAAAATACTTCTTCAACGGTCCAGAATGATGCGACAGCTTTCTTGTAGAACGCCCATATATCATGATACTTCAGGGGGAATATGACAAAACGATGAGGATTTTCTTTCAAGAGAGGCTCCTCGCGCTCATCATAATGGATAGCAGCCTAAAAAAGATCAAATTTGACCAAAAAACACCTGTTTTTTTCGTGCTCCTCTTTCAACTGCTATTATGACTTTCAAGCGCGACAAGAAGTCGAGCAAGAAAATAGGAACAGTAGTTGAAAGAGGAGCAGGAGCAATGACCTTCGAGCTACGCGTACTCGTAGTCTACTGCTAATGAAATAATTCTTCACGGAGGCGATCTTCGACATTCTTAGGTCTAGTCTAGTTACGGCTCTACGGGCTCATTACTTTTTGATCACCGACAATAATTTGAGCGATGACCACTGCCGCACCACCTTCCGGTGGCAAATTTTGAGTTCTGTATTCTACTTTTTGTAGCGGGACTTGGATGATTGAGAGTACGCAATTTCGACAAAAGCATCTTCTTGGACATCCCTACTCGAGATTAGTTACTTGGCATGCACATGATCGCTTCACCTGAGTGGAGGTGACATGGGAACTGAACTAAAGTCGTTTGCTTAAAGGCTGTGTCCGGACAAGAACCCGATTTTGAGATTTTGTGCTTACCTGGGCCTAGTCGCTATGCTGAATGGTGAATCCGAATTGACACTGAAGAGGGCGAAAACGGTGAAAAGGGCTTAACGCAAGGAAGAAAATCAGCCTCTTTAAAGTCAGTCTAGCTTCAGGGGCGGTGTTCTTGGTTGCGATTACAGTCAAGCGTTAGCACCTGGCCGGTGGCGATGTTAGGGGTGGGGTGGAAGCGAGAAGATGGCCCCTGAAGCTGGAATAGTGATTTCACAGAGCGGAAGGTTCCGCCCACCTCCTACCGTTCCTCCTGCGTTAAAGCCCTTTTTCGCCGTATTCGCCTCTCCAGTGTGGATTTCGGATTCAGCACGAACAGGCCCGAGTATGACAAATCAAAATCGACCTCTCCGGACACTAACTTTGAGACACTTTCACGCTCTTGTAACGTTTGAATGAACGCAAAGACCGCAGTCGATTTCGCTGCCACGATATAATCAGTGGCGTACTCAGGATTTCCGCTCAGGGGGGGGGACAAAAAACTTTTCGGATGAAGGTGCGTGGCGTGAGCCACGCACTCCGAAATTTCTTGGGATGCTTCTCAAAATTTTTGCGGGCCTTGACCCCGAAATATCAGAAAAAGGGGGAATGGCGGCAGCCACGCCCCCGAAAATTTTATTTACAAGGCTTATTTGTATTTTTAAAGAATTTTAAAAATTATTTCAGTTATTTACAAGCACAAATAAGTCGCTTGCACATTTTTATGACACATTTAAGTAACTTTTGAAAATTTCGCGACCTATTCTCGGGGTATTTACAAGAGGAACCCCTAAGTAGGCCAAAACCCGAGTCTTACTCGATCTGACCCTCCATACTCAGACACTTGGAGCGTGCGGCGCACGCGCGTTTATGGTCAATGCGGCAAAGCGCGTGCCTTATTTGTGGGCGTGTCCGGCAGTACGCCAAACGCGTGCCATCCTAGACATTCGATGCGTGCGGCGCGCGTATCAATGGCCAAGCCGCGACCCGCGCGCTAACTTTATGCTCGGTCTCGCGACCCGCGCGCCTGGGTTTGTAGCACGCCGCGCGCGTGCCTTTATACTCTATCCGTGCGGAACGCGCGCCTGCAATTATCACATGCTGTAAGCGCAAGGGATACCCGCGTAGTGTATGACGCAGTGGTTAGGCTGCCCCATCATTCAAGAGATTAGATTTTACATCTTAGTGTATGAGTAGTCGCGGAAGTAGAATTTGTTTTTTGCTTCCAAGCGTTAGCCGTCGGTAGCATTGTGAATGGATGCTGGATCTGAATTTTTGGATTCTAACACGAATTCGTATTTTCTGGCGTATGAAGTGTGGAGTTCATTATCAAGACCTGCGAGAGCGCAACGAAAAACTGAAAAAATGCAGCCATCCGCGGGCCAGCACCAGCGGCGCGGCATCCAATGTCCCGCCATCCGCGCACTGGGTGTTGCGCCACCGTGTGACTGCGCGCGCGCTGCACGCTCCAACTGTCTGAGTAGGCCAAGAAAATTGCAACAAAGTGGCGCACAGCCTGGGATTACCCCTCTAGTTAAGCAAGAGGCGACTCAGACATTTTTGGTGACCCGTGCCTATAGCCGGCGGGTGGAGGAACGAACGCCTCAGTTAGACACCGCCTCCGCGGGCTGCTGGTCCTTTCGTACTGCTATTGTGCATCGTGTCAGGACCAGTAGTCCGCGGAGGCGGTGCCTAATTGAGGTGTTCGTTCCTCTACCCTAGCCGGCTGGGCGCAAACCCATGCTGGGGTTGCCCTGTCATGCTAGCATGGGCCATCGAGAGTTCGGTGTGTGAGCGACCTGTCACCCGGACGATCGGGCCAGCCCGTGTTTCCATGTCCCTTGTAGGCCGCGCTAGCAAAGTAGGGCAAAACAGGTGAGGGTTTTCGCTCGCCTGCACATGCATGTGCGGGTCAACTCAAATTTGGGTACAACCCAGGTAAAGCCAAAAATAGTGAAGAACGTTTCTGTATTCAGATTGACAGTCGAACCATAGGAATTACGAGAGCTTTATCAGTCAACTCGTAAGAGAACCTATAGGTTGTTATCTCCAAAAGGCAATTATTGCTTCTCATGCAAGCTTCGAACACCTGCCAAACGTTGACTACGACTCCTTTCCCGCTCTGCGCTAGAGTGGATGAGGAAGTGGCAACAAATTATACTAGTATTTTTAGGTGGAAGCTAGTTGCTAGCAGCATGCGGGTTAGAGCGCAATCGAGATGTGATATGACTCGTACGCTGTAGGATATAAGTGGCTCACGCAAGCGTCCCCTGCCTCCTGCTGAACTTCTGCCTTTTCTTTTTCTTCGTGAATAACATCCTGAAATTGCGTCATATTCCAGCTGTAATTCACCAATTAACGCGCTCACTCACCATGTTCTCCTTGTTACCAGTGCGAATGTCACCGAACGGCATGGTCACCTTGGTCAAAGGCAAACGAATCAAACAGTGAAAGCAGACTCACAGTTCCGTTCGACTGGGCTGTTACGAAATCTGTGGCCAAAATCAAAATTGCCGCGCTCCCGCCAAAATCATACGTCCTCGTATGACGCTGGAACAAAAAAAGAGGCGCACTTTCTAGTGGGAAATCGACCAGGTCTTTGTAAGCTTAGCGTTTTGAAAAGCCCTTTGGGCTAACGGATAGATGGCATGGGACAGATCATAACACTATTGCCAGATGACTGTCAATGCAGTACAATTACTATCTACGCTAATTCAAAGGTCAAACTCAATAATCTGAGGGGTGTCTCCAAGCAAAATCCAAAGAGCTAAATGGAACATACATTAACCAGGTCAGAAGGCTCCAAACAAAAGAGAATCTCGGTAGATGGAAGTACCAAGTGTCTGGATCAAATTGATAAAGCTTTTCCATTTCTCACGAGGAGTTTACTTATATGACACGTCTACGAAGAAATTCGAATGCAAGGGAAGTGTGCAGCTGCAGTGAAAGTGCAAGGAAAAAAACGTGGCGGGATGCCTTGCCATCGATTTTGATGCCGCTGATGCAATTCTGAATTAAAAATACTCGATGAAGTGGCTAGATGCAAAAGTTGAGCTGCTGACTTCCAAAGTTCTTTTCTGTGCATTGCTAATGAAAAGAGTTGTGAGAAGAGATATTGATATTGAGCCACATCAGATTTTTACGCGAGCCTTCAAAAAGTACCAGATGACATGTGGCTTGCTAGCTCTCTAAAGGTTCCACTTGATGAGTTTGAATCTTCCTGCTGTGGAATTGACCGAAATTTACAAATTTAGTGTCACTTGCATTTTCATAGGAGTCGCCATCAACATTTTCATGTTGAATTAAAACCAAGACAATAATAATGAACAATCTGTAGCTGCTTGTTATATCTCCTTTAAGTTTCAAAATAATACCTCTGAAACGTTATAAAACAAAGATAGTGCTATTAGGTTGGCTAATAAATAAGTTCGGTCGCTTTTTCAGCTCTTGCAAATGTTGTAGACAAATTTTATCCAATGTTTGGTATATCTGAAAAGAGCACTTCACTGGGTATTGGAGCATATATTCTGTTTGAGTAAAACTTATCTTCCCAGGAAAAAAATCCGCAAAGAAGTGAAAAATCGGAATTTTCCCATAATGCGCAAATATGAGGAAATTTGGTTTTCTTAGTGAAACATTTTCAAAATGGCAGATCACATTTCTCTTTGTTTTCACCAAATAGGGATAACCCCTCTGTATCAGACACCAAACTGCTGCCCTGTACATCCATTACAGCATGAAAACGAAGCTCAAGAAGTCAAAGAATTGAGCTTTTGGAAATTTCGCCATGTTGAGGCATAACTGTCTTTACTGACCATAGAAAATCCTGATTATTTGATATGTGATAGAGGAAGCTTCGAACTACTTTCCCACAAAAAATCACAAATTGAAAACAACAAGAAAATGTTTTATGACAATTTGTATGCCAAAACGAACTTACTTTTTAGCCAACCTAATATTTACCGCATATGACAACAAACAACGACTTTTTGTTATCCGGACCCATTTTTTCAAAAAAGCATACTGCTTTTTCTTTGTGCCAAATTTGGCCATAATCTGACAAAGGAAGAAAGGGTCGTCAAACCCTGACGTGTCACAAGATTTGACATGTCATCTACATGTTCAGTAGGTCTGAAGAGTTTGTCAATGTATCATTCAATGTCAATGTATGACTAGGAGACGCGAGACCGCACTGCACACATTGTCTGAACAAGCTTAATCGTGTACTAACAAGGTGGCCATACTGGTGACCGTGGCCTTCTGGAATGAAGCGCATACCATTGAATGCATCTTGAGGCTCCCAAATCTGCTTTCGGTATCTGATGTGCGCTCTTCCAAAAAGAGGTCATAAACATTTCTTGCCGCCAAAATTTGCACTGTTTTGATGACAGAAATCACAAATATCCTTAGAATGTTCATACGCACTACAAAACAGCGCTCAAATAAAATAAAGCTTTATATCAAGCTCAGAAAAATAGTCTCTGATAAATCAGAGTCTAAAAAGCCTGAATACTGATGATTCAGACTGCCTAGATCTTGTGAAAATAATACGGAAAAAAGTCCATAACTTTGCTCAGAAAGTCGCACAGCAGATAGTGAACACAGATTTGAAATCAGCGTTTCAAAACGCATCTATGGTGTACATTTCACTGCGAATTACTGCAATCACTGCAAACACTCAATCACTGCATTTCACTGCAATTCCATTTCACCCCGTGCTAACCCCTTTGGTCAAAGTTTCAGGGGAATTCCGAGGTTTCCAAATACAGGACCACCTAAGTGAGATGGTCGATTTCAAACGTGTTACTTTGTTTTAAAAGTAAGTTAACTACTTCTTTTTGCGCTTAATACAAAGAACTACTATTTCTTCGCTCACATTAGGAATCTTACTTCAAATGACCTCCAAAGGGTAGAGGAACGAACACCTCAATTCGGCACCGCCTCCGCGGACTGCTGGTCCTAACACGATGCACAGCAGTAGGACGAAAGGACCGGGTAGGGGAACGAAAGCCGCCAGTTTGAGCCGCTTTTCGCGGCCAACTGGTCCTTTCGCAGTGTTGTTGCATGTCGTTCCAGGACCAGCAGTTCGCGGAGGCGGCCCAAACTGGCGGCTTTCGTTCCCTTACCCGAAAGGACCAGCAACCCGCAGAGGCTGGCCGAATTGAGGTGTTCCTTCCTCTACCCACCTTAAAATAATTAAGAGCAAGCCAAAATCTCGTTTGTTCCATATTTCGTTTCCAATATCTCAGGTTAAAGAAGACCAGTTAGGCCCAAATCACTTTAATGTAGATTACGAGGCTTAGGCTATCGAATATATGTTATATTCTTTGTCGTATTGTTTGTCGCCTTCACTTGCAATACACGTAATAGTGCAGACTTAGCATGTTACCGTTCCAATATTTTCGCAGTATTTCACTAGTGTTTTGCATTTGCATAGGTAATAAAAACGATTATATCTTGCTCTCAAAGAAACTTCATAGGAAATTTCTGCTATGTAAAGAAGACTAAGCATAACAACGATATAAAAAACGCAGCTATTTGATCTGTTTGAAGGTAAGTTAATGGGGTGTGGCACTACCCCTAAAAAGCTGTGGCTGCCACAGCTTTTGAGGGAGTGTGCTACACCCCATTAACTATATCAAAAAAAAAACATATTTAGCGAACAGTATTTATATAAATCGTTACACTAAACCTCTAGATTCCATAGGAATGTTTTAAGCCTGATTCGTCTTCTTAGCTCTTAGTAATATTTGGTGAAAGCACAGCCATCAAAAGAGAAAAATGGGAAAAATTAGATTTTGTTGGCTTCTAATTCCAAAGTCTGGCGGTCTTTTGAAGCGGGATTTCTGAGATGGACAAAAAAGGTAGTGCTTTGTCTTGAGTGCAAAAATGGATAGCTAATTCACCTTTGAAACAAAGTTAATCATATTGGAAAATGACCATTTCACTTAGGTAGCCTAATATCTTGAATCTTCAGAAACCGCTCAAACTTTGCCTACAGTGGTTAATTGACATACTCATTATGGGTATGTTGTCCATTATGTTTGATAGGGCCTTCAGGTAATGCTATCTTAGGTATATACTTCAGGGGGGGGGTCTTATTAACCCATTGACGACGATGTGGACCACCGGTGGCCTACGCACTTTTTGCTGCCAGGGACGATGTGGACCACCGGTGGCCCACACCCCTTGCGAAATCATGTCTTTTCCAGATCTAGTATTTTTTCCACAGTTCAGTATTTTCTCCAATTTTTTGCACTCTTGGAATCGGTAGACTTCGCCGTCCAAAAAGATGACTGTGGTTGATTACAGAACAACTTTACACTTCGTAAATAATCGCAAAATTTCCCCACGCCATAATTGTTCTGCAAAACGCGTCATCCCACAGCGCCGCCATGCAAAATTAGGCGTCGTCGTCAGTGGGTTAAGACAGCAATCAGGGAGGAGGGGGGGGGGGGAGGTCGTAACCAGCGATCGTGTGCCACACCCCTTGCTTGACCCTGGTTATTACCTTGGTCTACGCTCAATCAGCTCACACGATTATTAACTACCTATGCTAAGTTCAACATACAACCGAAGTTAAACAATAGTAAGAGAGGAACGCTTCATGTTACGCGGTTGTGCTGAACTGCAATGTATAATGTATTAAGATATTCTTACTAGTCGGTTTAAAGCACTTAGCACGCCATATACCACTGGACAGTTACACCCGTTGAGAAAAACTAACCAGTTGTCGTTGGGCTTTTCGCGAGTGAATCTAATATAGAGCGACTGCGCATTGAGAATTTCAAAACATGTGTCAAGTTCTTATTGAGTAGAACACAAGATGCAGCAATCGTCAATATAGCGGCAGTATAGAAGAGACGCAAAAGAACCTTCGACCTTTGATATGAAGGCTATAGCGACCATAGGTGACAACCTTTGCCCCATGGCTAAACCTCCAATGGTAAGAGCGCCGTCGATCTCCGCGAAGTGCTCCATTAGGCTATATCACCTCCACCGGTATTGTTTTCTCTTATGAAGATAGAACTCCCATGGAAAAGTCATGCGGGGGACGGTAGCCCAGACGATCGCAGTTTATGTTCCAGAGCACTTGAAACTTCCCAATCTTGCATTTTTCTTTTAGCATAACGGTTTTGCGCAAAAGTCGCCCACAATTTGTAAAAGGTGTTGCCAAACTCTTTTACGTCTACCTAAAAAGCCCGATGTTATGTAGCGGTTGATGATGTTCGTGGTTTTCTGTGAAGGCGTAGTCCTAACCATTCGAGAGAATGGGTCACATACAAGTTAACAAAATGGACAGAGATGAATGGCTGGCGAGACCGAGACCTCCAACTTTTCGTGATGGGACTTTTATATTGAGGAGTCCCTCTTCAACGGTTTCCGTCCTACTTTCTAGTCTTCGTTTTCTGGAAAACGATGACGTGGAATCTTGATGTAATCTGTATCAATGGCAAGAGGCATGGAGGTCGGCGTTTGTGGATGTCCTGGTAGGTGAAGCATGATCAAATCCTCATTGCAAGCCGTTTCGAGCTCATAGCTATTGTATACCTTGGATGTGCATCCAGTTCGATACTCGTCCCCCGTAACGCCTATAGCGACAAGCAATAATGGAGAACATTCACTTTCAAAACTGAATTTTGTGTAGCTTCGGCTGCATGGACCACTCACCGCTGAAAGTTAGTTAAGATAGGATACTCACCAGATTTGCACAGAATCAACTTATTTGGATAGAAATAACCTTACAGTGTGTTTGCTATGACCGTAAGACAGCCGCTGTACTCCTCGGGGGTATAGTACCCACTGTCGCCAGTGGCTACTACTGGCATCACCAGTCGCTAATGTTGGTGACTGCAAGATATCGTCCCCTCCACAGATCGTGCTACCCTTGTGGCGTCGCGGACGTGCCACGTGTGACTAACGCATTGGCAACGTTGGCAGCAGCACGTTGGCAACATGCAGCAACATGTTGGCGTGACCAAAATGTTTTGCCAACATGTTGGGGCATGTTGCCAACATTTTAGCCACACGTGGCAGGTCTGAGACGCAGACCAAGGTACAGTCTGCTCCAACTGGGATCAGGCCGAACCGTCGGCCTGAATTTGTATGCTAGCAGCGCTAACCATTTGCGCTGCGTATGCGCGCTCTAAGAGAGAGCAAACAGATTGAAGAGAGAGCAGAGAAGCAGGCCGTGGGCGTGGCCGCGAAAACCTAGCGACGCGGATTCCCGCCATGCTAATTTTGGCCTGGTTGGGATTGGAGTAGACTATAGCACGATCTGTGGAGGGGACTATAGTATCAATCGCTGGCATGTTTATACTTGTTTAATCAACAGGTATCGTCGTCTCCATGGTACGTTGAGCGGAGCATTTGTAGACATCAGAACATGTTGTTGAACTTGTCAAGCCTCTACTGCATGATTCTTCGTACTCTCTAAAGTGCCACATATTAGGTTGGTGCAAAAATTATGGCCTATTTCCCGCCTTTTTTCGGGGCAACTTTTTTCCATTAACACTTCCTCTTTAAAATAGATGTAGTGTACCATTGAGAAGCTGTTTTCATGTTCTATATAATGCCGTTTGAAAGGAGCTTCCATCCTCATCTGTTACAAAGTTACTGAGCTTCAAATAACCGCATCCATATTCAGTATTTCATTGCATCCACTTTTCTGGCCAGAATTCAAGCGCGTATCAATGGCAATTCTTCGAAAATTTAGCTATTGTATGTACCCTATTTTCAGGTGTATAAGCCGCACCCTTTTTGCTCTAAACGCGAGCAGGCCCAGGCCTGCCGCCGCGCATATGTTTCGCGAAGCGGTCGCCTTATCGCATACTGCTCTTACTTAACGCGCTCCATGATGACAGTCAGTCTTTTGGCGTGTTCGCCTTTAAAGCGAAAAGGGTGCGGCTTATACACCTGAAAATAGGGTAATAGAAATTGTCTAAGGCCCGTATGCACGTACATCCTCGCGGGGAGGGATGTGCGTTTCACCATTGAAATGATCCCCGCTGTCGCTCCCCTCCCCTCCCCCACGCGAACCCCGGATCGAGTGGGGAAATCACTTCGCTTCTGCTTTTCTATGGTAAGTATCCCTCTTTTCTCATCTTTTGACAGCTACTCGTCTTAATTCTGTCATCGGCAATTCTATTCGTTGCGGAATGCGCGTCTGCCGTGATTGCGCTGACAAAAATAATATTTCCTATGCGCATTAGATTCGTGTTGTTTTCGTGAATGCTACTCACTCTCGCCCACGCTGTCCAATTCAGCGTTAAGATGTTCAACAATAAAAGGTCAAGATGTTTCTGCATCGAATGGGTTGAATGCGTGACCAATGTCTTCTCATCGCAGCAAGACATAGAGAAACACTCTGAAGGACTTCTTCAAAAGACTTCGTCAACATGTCACCATCGAGCCGGTGGTCTTCCTGTTCCGCGTTTGACGTCCATGTCCAATCCGTTACAGCTTTGGTCCACCGATGGTCGCCAAAACGCATCACATGTGCGGCTCACCTGATTCTATTCTATTTGGCATATACGGCAGCATCGCCAATCATCGATCGTTGACGTAGGGTGACGTATTCCTTCCCTCACGTGGTCGGGACACTAAGATCACTCTCTCAAAAGCGTGTTCGATGACGCTCACCGCAAGTTCATCCTGCTTCCTTATGGTCTACGTCGAAGTGTACGTTAAAGCAGGCAAAACCATCGTGTTCCGACATGGTTGCGGAGCGTGTTCTTGGTTTTCTTCACGACGTCCTCATTTGCTTTGCATGCTCCTCATTGTATTTCCTCCTGCTCCGTTCAAGGGCTGGATCATTCATCATGTTGACTCCCCGATCTAGGTTGATGTAGCTGAAGCATTCGTAACAGTCATTCCACTCAGCATGAAGGGAGCATGAACATCGTCTTCGTCGATTTAGCCTTAGACCGATCTTCCCACACACGTCGTCAGACTGGGCCAGCATTAATTCCGCTTGCGTTATGTTTCTTTGATCAGGACTATATCCGAAGTGAAGGTGGTGTAGCTGCCGGATGTCGACTTTCACTCTCATGTCGTCCCTTCAAGTGTACGCATGACGTTTTCAAGAGCGGCGCTGAAAATCTCTGCGATATGGTATCACCTTGTCGTACTTCTTCTCTTCACGTCAATGGTGATGCCCTTGTGAAATGGTATGATCTCTCTGTAAGGTCGCTGTACAGCTCATCTTGCTCAACGAATCATCTTGATGTACTGAGCTGGAATACCTTGATTGCTCAAGGCATCGATGACACCTCAGTCTCAATGGAATCAAATGCCTTCTCCAAGTCGATGAAGGTGAGACAGAGCGGGATCCTGTACTCTCCGATAATTCGATGAGCCTTGGTGCCTTGGTGTATATGTATATGTGATCCATAGAGCTAAGTCCTGTACTCAGCTTGCTCGCATGGTTGTCCTTTGTCTAATACTCTTAGGATCCTGTTGAGAAGTATTCGTGTGAAGAGTTTGTAGACTGTGGACATGAGCAGGTAAGGCGATAAATCTTGACGTCGCGCTGGTTCTCCTTCTTGTACAGCAACACGCTTTTGCTGGTCTTCCATTGGCTTGGAGCCTTGCACTTCACATATATCGCTTAAAGAGCCTTGACGGAGTCTGATAAGAACTGGTGGGAGACAGTCGGGACATGCTGCTGTACGACTTTTCGTTGACATGATAACATGTCTAACGTTCGAAGGAAGCACTGATGGTGCGACATAATCGTCCTCCTTGAAGTGGCATGGTGACAGGTAGACGGCTCGCAAAGAGGTCCGAGAGGAAATCGTGGATGACTTCATGGACCCTCGGGAAAAGGTTGCGGTTTCATCGGGGCGGTGAGTGCGGTCATCTTGTTCTGAAATTGACGACGCTTCTTTGCTTATACTTCTTCCAGCCTTCGCGGCGTCTTACATTACTCGTGATTTTCTCTTTGAGATCCTCTTTTATCGCTTCTCTGCATTGCTTCGCAAGTCGGGCGCAAGTTGGTGATTACCTGCGGCTCGTGCTTGTCCATATTGACGTATCAGCTCTAGAGTTTCCGTTGGCAGCACGGATATAGTGGATTCCGTTCGTATTACTGGTCGATGTTGCACGATATCTCGCCAAAAATCGGATATGTGTGAAGACAGCCCAGTTGACGTAGTCGTGCGACGGTGTTCTCCGATCTCAACGGCTCCCTCTCCATTCCGAGAAAAAGAATTTGGCAGAAGGAGACGATATTCCAGTTCCGTGTAGAATTCCGGGACATCAATGACTTTCATCAGGCAGTACCTTCTGACGACGGTAATGTAATCAGTTTCATTATGGTACTTACTCTCCACCGATGAGTCCCAAATCCAGCGTCAGAAGGGATTTTTGGAATTATGTTTCCATGGATCCTCGTCGCCATGATAAACTCGGTAGTCTCTCCCCTTGTTCATTACACTGGAGTCCGTGGGTCCCGATGTGAAGCTCTGCTGGTGACCTCCGTTCTTTCGTTGAAGTCACCGACGATGACTTTGTAGAAGGTGTGCTCTTCTTTGTAAAACCTCTCCAACTTTATATAAAAAACCTCGTCCTCGTCTTCGTCGTGACTAGATGCTGGGGAGTACACTATGAAGATTGTCAAGGCCGGGATCGACTTACATCCTGATGTTCGTACGTACGATTCGGGCTGTAAGTCGTTCAAATGAGTCGATGCTTACTACCAAACCCGGAGAAAGACTCCTGCACCGCCAAGCTGCTGTCGCATGTTCCTAAGAACAGTTCTTCTCCGCTATCAAAAGTGGCGTTTAGCGGGTGATGTCACCTTATCTCGGTCAGTTCGATGACTTCGTACTTGATCTTCCTTGCTTGTATACTTGGGTAGAATTGAAAGTTTTCATCGAGTGAATGAATATCGAATAAGTTCGAAAATGTAAATTTTCGAATAAACGAATATCGAATAAATTCGAGATTCAAAAATTTCGAATGAATGAATCCCGAATAAAATTGGAAAATCAGAAATATCGAATGAATAAATATCGATTATATTCATACATTGAAAGTAAAATTTCGAATAAATATTCGAATGATCTATCGAGTAAATAGAGCAGCCAGATTTGAAACTTGCTGACCTATTCGGCTAAAGCCGATCCATTCATAATCAGCACCCTCAGATCTTCCAAAACTCTGTGAAATCAATAAAATAGATCTGTTTTTAATCTGCACCCTCATTCATCCCTGTACCAACTCTCAGCCTCGTAGCTCAAAATTTTTCAAAAATTGATAAAATCGACAAAATGAAATTTTATTCATAATCAGCACCATCCCTCCCCCCCCCCCTCCCTGTACCAACTCTCACCCCGTAGCTAGCATCTTGTAACTGAAAAATCGCGTATGACTGCCTCGTGAAGTATGTGCGGGGCGTGTCATAATCAAAGCTCGCATTTCTCAATATGGACCTTCTTCGTCCGGCTTTAGCCTCTACCATGGTTGATAGGCTGATAGTTCACGGTGGTGGAGTGTCTGCAAGCCTCCGTGAAAATCTTGGATGCACTGTGATAACAAACTATTATGTACTATCTACTGAACAAAAGCTTATTGGAAGGTGATATAAATGCAAAATTCACCAACCGTCTAATCCTCCACTACAGCTGCGATGTCCTTTACTCAAAATACACCAATTCGCGAAAATCTTCCAAGGTAAAGAATAGATGCAGTAGTGCAGCATGAGTTTTACAAGCAAGAGTGCTCACTAGTGTGGACCTTTGCGTACAGAAACAGGCATGTCAATACATTTCCAGTATATGAAATCGGAACATGGGCTTGAATTTGATAGCTATTTTTGCTGATTTGG